AACCCCCGGGAGCTTGCTGTTCAGACCAAGGGTCCTCTGTGGCTCCCTTTTCTTATCAGAATTTGGATAAATTCCAAAATTCCAGAAAACCTCACACTTCCTGCATCTGGAACCCTGGGGTATGTGGTGGGGGTGGGGGCTGCTGCCCTTCTAGAGAACGTCTGAGAGGTTCGTTTCCCACATTGCCAGCCATCTGACCACAGCTCTGGGTCAGACCTTGCTGTCAGGGATCACAAAGTGCAGGTCCCAGCAAGTGGCACCAGCAGCAGCCCGCAGCAGAGAGGCCCGGGGGCCAATCGGTCTGCCAGGTGTGGTGTTGGTCCAGTTCCGGTGAGGGCCAGTTGGGAGAGCGCCAGGGCCCCCGAGGCCGCCCTGGGGAGCAGCCGGCTGACAGGCGAGTGCCTCCAGGTGGGGCCATTCCCAGGCCGTTCAGGGAATGTTCCTGGGCATCTGGGTAAGAACCAATAAAAGATCTAAAATTCTGGATAACAAAGTCTTAAGACATCCTACCTGCAGCTCAGGAAACTTGTGGTTTTGATAATCTTGTTTACTGTGAGTGAGATCCATGAGGGTTTTCATGGAAATTGGTTTTTAGATCCAGGATCCCACACGTCCCTGCAGTTCTGTCTAACCAGCTCGTTAGATGTGAACATTCACCTCCGTGGGGCAGTAGAGGCCACAGAACCAGATGTCTGGCCATCAATCAGTGGTCGGCCAATTTTAGCTAGAATCTAGAAAAACAATCGTGAGCCTCATCTCAGCTTACAAAACCCAGCACTACAGGTTGAAAGTTCTAGGAGGCCTTGGGCCACACCTGATCATCCGCCCTGCCCTCTCTCTCCCCTGGGTCGTCCCGTCACCTGAGGAAAGCAGAATGCCCTGGAAAGGGCCACAGCACCCCCACACGGTGGTCAAGCGTTACAAAGCCTTCCACTTGTCCTCTGGGTTTTTTCAGAACCAATTCTCCCTCAGCTGATCCAGGGCCCCAGCCCAGGGCTCATGTGTAGGATCCGGAGTCATCAGATAAAGCCACGCCCCAAGGCGGTCACTGCTGTCTGTCCATCCATCTCCCTTCACCTGGGCTTAAGTCCCAAGTGTGCAGTAGGGCATGGGGACAAGCTGAGGGGGTGGGTGCAGTGGGAGCCTTTAATTAGCTGGGGCTGAGGACAAGACTGAGCAGTTACTCAGGGCTCCCTCCCCACAGACAAGTATTTGGCCGGAAAGGCTGAATCCTCAGGAAACCAGGACCCCCCCCCCAGGCCCCTCAGCTCAGCGCTCTGAGAGATCAGCAAGGAGCCAGCCTCCAATGACCCACAGACAGATCAGCACGAGGCAGGGGGCAGCTCCCGGCGCTGAAGACCTCGTCCAGCGCCAGGGTGGGTGGAAACCGTAGGCCAGCAAGTCTGGAGCACAGAGCCCCATAAAGGCCAAACCGTCCATCCAAACTCAACACCCCAAGTGATAGCAGGAAGGAGTGTGGGCCACCCACCCCTAGGGATTCTTCTAGAAAAAGGAAAGAAGGCCAGATTGTCCCTGCCTGCAGGATGTGACACAGAGATGCCGTCCCCACAACCTCTCCCCACCTGCCACCCTCCCATCAAGATGCCAGTCCATTTCCAAGACGCTGGCCAGTTTGTCACCTCGGGTGACCACAAAGTCTGCTGGATGCCAGTGCACCCTCCGCTGCAATGGGGCTATGGGGCAAGGGGACCATGTGGCTGGTGCCTCCACTGGCCCTATAGGTGCCAGCATCCTGGACTTGAGACCTGAAGCTCTCAGTGTTGCTCCTGCCTCAGCAGCCCAAGGAAGGTGCCACTCGTGCCCCCAGTACAGCTGAGAGAGTTCTACTGCCAAATGGGTGAGTCAGATCCTCTAGGGCCAGGCTGGAGAAGGAGGAGGAGGGTGGGCAGGGCATTCAACTCCTGGTCTCCCCTGAGCCCCGGGTTCCCTCCCCAGCACATGGGGCCACCTCGGAGCCCCAGGTGAGCCCCCAGGAGAGGCGGCCTCATGGCCCCTTCCCCAGACCCCACAGACCACAGCCTCCCATCCTGCCACTCAGCCCTGCCTCAACTGGGTCAACGTGAGGGTGGTGGGGTCACGCCCTGCCCTCTGGACCCCTGCAGTGTGTGCGACCACCAGGCAAAGGGAGGGTCGGTGGTCACTGCTTTTGCCGCAGAGGCTGAACGTGAGGCTGGTGTCCTGACGCCTCCTCTCTCCTGGTGGGGCTGCTCCCGGCAAGAACCAGTGGCCCATGATGCTGGGAAAATGTGAGACAACTGGCAAAGTACTTTCAATTTGGCCCTCCCAGAAGGTTCCGTGGCTCTGAGAGCTGCCCCGGGGCAGATCAAGCCTGGTGCTCACAGAGACGTGCCAAGGCCAGGAGGCTAGGAACCAAGCCACTCCCAGGGCCAGAGTCAGGAAGAATGTGACCATAGGATCTTCAGACTTCCGCCTTCCTCAGTGCTGGGCAACATCCTCCTCCCGCCCTACGACAGGCCCTCAAGGCCAGGGCAGTCAGCCACAGCGGTCAGGATGGCTACGTCTCAGAGCTGCAGAGTCACCTGCCACACATAGTGCCTTCCGGAAGGCGTGGACCTGAGCCCATCCCGTGGGTGGCAGGAGCTTCTCTCTGAGCGTCTCTTTCAGCTGGTGTGTCTCTCAGTTGGTTCCTTGGCTAATGGACTAGGAAACCGCGAGGGCTGCTGTCCCCCATCAGACAGGCTCCTGAACAGCCCCCTCCCCCTGGCCCAAGCCCCCCTCCCCCAGACCTGCACCAGCAAGCGGCCACACCCGGCGGGCGCCCCATCTCAGCGGGCCCACTCTGTAGACACCCGTCCAGTGCTCAGTCAGGGTGACACGCACAGACAGGCCAGCGTACTGGCCGTGTGGGGACAGACTGTCAGGCTCCAGGGTGCATTTCGGGCACAAACCAGGCTTTTCCCGAGAGCACTGGTGACTCCTGACAGCAGGAGTCACCCCGACCAAACGAGGGGGGGGGCAGGGCAAGTGTCCTGGCTGCCGGGCATCAATCATCCCCAGCCGGGCCCGTGGCTCTGAGCCAGGAGGAACCGATCTGACTCTCCCTTGGGCCTTCTTTCCCACACTCCCCATCCACCCACATGTGGCCACCACAGTCGGGCACCAGCAGACCATTGCCAGGTCCCCCTTGCCCTGTCCCCTGCCTTCCCATACTGCCCACCCACTGTTCCTCCACCCCTGGAGCTGGTCCCAGAGCCTAGAGCCAGAGTCATGCAGCCACCACCACCCCCAGGTCACACAGCCCCTCACCAGCATGACTCCCCAGGGTCACACAGCACCCCCGGGTCACACAGCCCCTCATGAACACAACTACCCAGGGCTCACCACTCCAGGTTATGTTTGTGCCCCAGAAACAGAGCCGAGCCTCAAACAACCAGAGGCAGGTTTTCAGCAAACCCTGAGCAAGCGTTCCAAGGCCAGGACTTGGGGACACCTGGGTGCCCATTCCAAAAGCCTCTGTACAGTCAATGACTCCATGGCCTTGGGTGGGATCCCCGGCAGCGACAGGAGCCTGGCAGGGATGCCCCAAAAATCAGGGGTGACCTTGACCCTCACAGCAGCTGAGGAGGGGTTTGTGCCTTAATCCATCACAAGCCAGGAGCCTGTCAAGACTCCACAACCCACTGGGCCAGGAAGTCTGCTCTCAGCTCCCTGCAGCCCCTCCCACGGCCCAGAGCCCCAGACTCTCCCTGCCCAAGGTTGACCCCCTGCCCCTGGATGTGGCTGCTTCTGCCTGTCAACAAACCAAGAGTGCGGCAAGCGAGATGAGCTCCAAATGTTTGCACAATTCAAGGAAAATAAACAAGAAGCTCTGGACAGTAGTGCTGTTTGGGGTTGTGGGGACAGTGATTCAACAAGGCTGAAGGGACTCAGGGAGCCCCTTCCTTCAAGGGCTTTGAGCTAAACCCATGAGCCTGGGATGTGCAGGACGGCCGCTGCCCTGGTCTTGTGTCAGAGCGGCCATCTGTGGGACCAGCCGCGGCAAACCTGTTCCCTGTCCCGCCCAGCTCCCCCAGGGCCCCTCAGCTGCCATGTGCACAGGGGGCCAAGGGCAGCCAGAGGGACCCGGGCTTGGCCCCCAACTAATAGAGTGACCCTCCCCGCAGGCTTTGTGCCTCCTCACAGTGTGGTGACAACCTCCACATCCCCAGGGAGGGGGACACCTAGGACCCTCCCCCTCTTGGTCAGTCCTCACCTGAGAAAGGGGAGTGGTGTCTTCAAAGAGGTTGGTCATGCCAAGCTTGGAGCCCACAGGGAGGGTGGGGATGGGCGAGAGGAGGGCACTCAGCGGCACTGGGATCTCCCAGAAGCACTCGGGGGCAGCCAGAGGAGTGAAATGCAAATCTTTTCCAGACCATACCACCTCCCTCCAAACCCAGACGGAGAGGAAAACTCTGAGGCCCTGTTCGTACAGGGGAAACAGCACCATTTGTTCCCAGAGCTGGCAGGGCTGGGGCACCCAGACCCCGTGAGGGGGAACTCGCTCTGGAAGCTCAGGACTCCCCTCTCACCCAAGCGACTGCCCTAAAATGCACATGTGGGCAACTGGCCCCGAAAAGTGTCAGGGGCTCAGCGAGGGACTCACTGACACAGGGAAGCACCGGAGGGGCCCAGCCACATGAAACTGACCGCAGCCCGGAGGCCAGGAGGTCCCAGAGCCCCAGTAGCCACTCACTTGGCCTTCAGCCAGGACACTAAATCATCGTCTCCTCATCCCTAGGCCTTGCATCCCTCCAGAGGCTCAGGCCCAGGCCCAGGCTGGGAAAGGACAGGGAGGGGTCCTTGCTATCTGAAATGAAGCCCAAGGAGGGTGATTCAAGGGAGTAATCATGAGAAAAACCCCCAAATCCAGTGACTTCTTTTGCAAGACAAACAAGACAGCTGGTTTCTGCCAGGTTCTCAGAATATCAAGGACTAAAGAAGTGTTTTGTTTCCTGCACTGACCCAGCCGCCTGGCTTACCTCTGCATGCCGCCCAGCGTGAACAGCATGCTGGCAGGTCCAGGTCAGGCCCACTGCCCACTGCAGTCGCTGCCAGCTCGCGGCCCCTGGACACAGGCACCAGCTGGGTGCCGCGCTGCACAGAGTCTGAACCTGACTCCCAGAGCAGGTCACCTGTAGCTCAGGTGTGAAGCCACGCCCTCCACCTCACCCCTGTCAGAGGGCTTAACGTTTGAGTCTCAGGAAAAACCTGGCTTTCCCTGGGCCCTGGCTGGCGCTGGCACAGAGTCTGGGCTTCTCTACAGGCCTCCCGTCCCGGGTCGCGGCTGGAAGATCAGCCACGGTGGAGGGCTGGCCCACCGGGCTCCCACCTGCTCACCTGCCCACCCCCAGGGTTCAGTGGGCCCAGGGTGGGCTCAGAGGGAGCTGGGGGCACCATTGAGGGCCCCTGGATCCAGAATTCAGGACCAGACGCAATTCTTCGTGTGTGAAATGACAGTTGAGCGTCAGTCGACAGCTTTGAGGATGAATAAGGGAATTATGAGACCAAATTTAAGAGCTTTTCTCCTCTCTCTTCTTGAAAGCTGGCTTTATACAATGAGAAAATTTAACTGTTTTTTACATCTGGGGCTGGGAAAGAACTTTCAAAAGAGGACACCGCAATAGAAAACAAAAATATTAGTAGATTTGACCACATGAAAATTCGTTTCTTTCTTCAGGAAATAAATATTCAAAGACAAATGCAGACTGGGGGAAATATTAGCAGCATTTTGACCAAGGGTTAAGTCCAAGAGAAAAAGACAAATATCCACATAGCACAATAGGGGGTACACATGGAGGCCTCCCCACACCAGGGCGGCCCTGGTTATCAGCGAGCCAGGAGCAGGCCAGCACCTCCCCACACACACTTGGACATTGCTGTGGCCGAGCACCAATGGTGTGTCCTTAGGCTGGGCCCATGGGCCGCCCTCCCACCAGGCCCCCTCTCTGTGCCACTCTGAGCCCTTTGGCAGCCCCACTGCCCTGGCCAGTGACTGGCACAGAGGGTGCAATAGAAATAAGGGGGATGGGCTGAGGGGCTTGGAGGAGAGAGGTGCTGTGGGAGGAGGCAGGCTCCGGAGATCCCCCTGCCCTTTCGGATGTAGGGGCATCTCACCCGGTGTGCGCGCTGCATCACACTCTCCCCAGGAGCTCCCAGGGGCCACGGCTTGGAGGGCAGGGGGTCCACCTCCCAGGACAATCCTCCACTAAAAGGGCGGAAGGAGGACGAGACCCCGCCTCTTGTCCCGGGGAGGTTCTGGGAGGGGCTTTGCTTTGGGGGAGTGGGAGCCAAGCACCATGCCTTTCACTTCTGTGACGGCCGGAGGGTGTTGAAAAGAGAAAAGGCGAACACGGCCAGAGAACGGCAGGAAGCAGTCCACAGACGGTACCCTCCCTCGCCAACAATCCAGGAAGCAGACCCAAATGAGGCGCCCAGACTACTGCACAGTTGAACTGTCTGCATTGTTGCTGTATTCGTCAGCAATTCCCCCACCAACGCTGCATCGCAAACCACCCTGATCCTCGGTGGCTCAACAGCAAGCATGTGTCCTCATGCTTGAGGGCCGGGGGCTGTGCCTCTGCTGACGTTCTACTTCAGTCCCTAGAAGCCACCCAGGTATGCTCCTTCCATGGAGAATCTCAGGGAGACTGAGACCACATCTCATGCTCTCTGCATTGCCGCCCCTCATATCTCACCGGGTAGTGAAGCCACATGGCCGAGCCCAAGGTCAAGGGGGAGGGCATCGGTCCACCACAAAGCCACGGCCACACGGGTGGATTGCTCTCCCACAAGGAGCCTTTCACAGGGGAGGGTATGCAAGTCCTTGTGGAACATTTCAGACACTCACTGATGTAACAGCACACAGTGTGGCCATTCCAAGAGGCCGTTGGGCCTGAGGTGCTGGCTTAGCCCCCAGACCCAGCCATGTGATATGTACTGGATGGAGACAGGGAGCGGCGACAGTGACTCTCCAGCACCCCTGGGAAGGGTTCCCACTGAGGGAGGGGCGTGGCCACAGACCCCGGGCCGTCTGTAGGCACTCCTCCCCTCTGGTCCCAGGGTCCCCCCTCCATCCCATCCTGGCCACAGTGTCCTGCTCTCTCGCCCTTCTCAGTCCTCTCTCCACAGCAGGGAGCCCCAGGGGAAGGTTTGGGTCATTGGGTCCAAAGGACACCTGGTCCTCCCAGCTACAAGAGCTGAGGGTTCCTCTGCTTTCTCTGGGTCGCCCCTCCCTGGGCAGGGATGCAGGTGTCTGCGCAGCTCCTCAGGGAGCCAGGGTGGAGCAGATAAGCCAGGGAAACAGCCATCATTACATTACGGCCGAGAAGTGCCATTCCTCTAAATCATCAGGGAGCACACGGGGCATGGGGCTCCCCTGTCAGGGAAAGGAGTATTCTGAATGACCAACCAAGAGTGGCCAAATGTCCATCCATTTACAGACAGAAAGGAGCCCCCAGTGAGGGCCAGGACCCTCCAGCATGGGGGATGCCTCAGGACAGAAGTGCCAAGACCCCACTCCCCCTCCTGCTGGGGCCGTCAGATTACTTTCCTCCAAATTTATTGTTTGCTATAACCTTCACCCTAACCCAACCCTCCAGCATAGTCAGCAGCCGCATCTCACAAGATCAAGTTCTCAGGCCCTTTGACACCTGGTGATGGGGCCCAGGAGAAATAGTTGCTGTGCTGAGACCCCGAGAAGCCCCAGAGTTCCAACCTGAGGCCAGGGAATCACAGGACCACCTGCCCTGGAGACTTAAGTGGGGGCCTGGCTCCGAGTCCTGGGGTATTGGCACAGATGGTGACAGGGGGCTGGGGTCAGGGCCGTGGGGCCTGTGGAGAAAGCCAAGAGCTGTAAGCCGGGTCCAGGAGCGAGGCCTGGCAGGAAGCCACAGCTGCTGCCATTAGCACGTGGTGTCCAAAGCCACCAGCCCCCAGAGGACCCTGCAGGAGCCGCCAACAGAAGAGAGAAGTGGTGAGAGGGCCTAGCCTCAGGGCTGGGAGGCTGGAGAGGAAGAGGCAGCTAAGGAGACTCAGGAGGAGGTGGGAAGGAGGAGGTGGGAGGAGAATGGGAGGATCTTAGGGGGCTTGGCTGCCAAGGGCAGCTGACAGTTGAGGAGGAAGGGGACCAAGGACTGACCACAAGGTCAGTGGGGGATGGGGAAGCCGGCAAAGGGAGGAGGGAGGTGGTGGGGGATGAGGCAGAACACACGACTCCTGACTGCTCAGTCCAGGGTTGGGGGGGCTCCAGGAGAGGAGACACGAGCGAGCACATCAGTGCCCATGGGAGCTGCCCGGACAGGGGCCCTAGGGACGCAGGGCAGAGAGGGGACACCGCCAGGGTGCAACGCTGTCCCCACAGCTGCGGGAGCTGAGCCAGCCCTGGGGACAGCGGGGACTCGGCCCTCCTTTCTCCGGAGCAAATTGGCACCCCCATGGCAACTGGAGCTAGGGAGCAGCCAGTCCTCAGTGGCCATGTGCAGCCTTGTCTGTACCAGCAAGTACTCAGCCATCTTGGCGGCCTTGGTCCACCTCCCACCCACCTGCCTGCTGGAGGCTGTGAACACAGAAGACTGGAGGAGAAACGGGCCCTCGTTGTCCTGCTAACAACTGTAAGCTGAGCCAGGTCCCTTCACCTCAGCCCCTCTCCGCACACTCACATCCCTCTTCATGTGAGTTGCGGTCTCGGGAGCCATACCGGCCCCTTCACGTCCCTCCACCCCCTCACTGTCATCAAGAGTCTATCCTGGACCCCCTGAACCCTACCTCCTCCCCCTCCCACCCCTGGCTAGGGGGTCTTGGGCAGGCTCTTGATGTCCCTCCTCTGACCCTCCGAGGCCCACGGGTGGGATGAGGGTGGGACAGCACCTTGGGCAGCCTGTGCTCCAGAACAGTGAGAGGACGGGGCTTCTTGTTCAGTCCCACAGGGGCCCCCACATGGGGTAGATGTCTCCCTGGAACCCACAGGGGCCTGTGCCTTCTGCCCTGTAGCTGGTGACCCTGCAGGCAGGACCAGGGTGGCCGCCCAGCAGCCAGAAGAGATGGCCAGCCTAGGAGGGAGGCCCACTGCCACTGCCTGCAACGCCACAGGCCCCTGGCGTCTATCCTGAGAAGGGGCCTGGATGGAGGACAGCAGTGTCACCCACCAAAGGCCACCCCAGGGGAGGCCGGGGGGCAGCATGGACACAGGCTCCCAGAGATGCTCAGGCCTGGCCTCACTGGCATCAGAGACCCTCAGCCAGGAAGCCGCAGCCCCCTCCCCACTCGCCTAGGGTGCCCCACGGCCTCCACCCCTGCTTACCTCCGCCTGCAACCCCAGGTCATGGTGCGGACGGCAGGCAGTGGGCAGCTCTCCACCTGGACATTCCCTGCACCCTCCGCATTCCTCCCTCTGGGAGTCATGAGGGGACGCCTGCTCCACCTTTGGAGGGAATGCTCCCTTCCTGCCCAGCCCCCAAAACATCCAGTACTGTCACCAGGAGTGTCTGGGAGTCCCCTCTCCCATCTCAGCACTTACAGATGATGGGGCCCAGGGGCACCGTGCTCTCAAGTTAGGGTCCCAGCTCCCCAGACCTGGGCAGGAAGAATGGGCTGAAGTGGGGGGCCCAGGGTCCCTTCCCTGCACCCCACTGCTCAGAGGAGGGCTGGGGGAGCAGAACAGGACAAAGCAACGTGACAGATGCAGTGGCAGCCCCCAACCCCAGACAGGGCCCAGGTGGGCTCAGGGCCGGAGAGAGGGGGCCACCTGTGACCCATGGGTCCAGACCCGGAGCCCCAAGAGACCAAGGTCTGGGGGGCTCCAGATCACTCACCAGCAGACCCAAGGGGCAGACGGAACACCAGGAAGATGTGAGCCAAATCTGGGGTCAGGCACGGCACAGCCATACCCTGAGGACCCGAGGTCACCTCCGTGCCTGCCAGCTTCAGGCCCACACCACCCCACCCTGGGGGCCACCTCGCATAAGGGAGTTTACCGTTTACCACGTGCTGAGTGAGCTCTGCCTCCCCCAGACCAGCCCTGCTCACACTTGTGGCTCCTGCGCCAGACATGTGGCCTGGGTCCCATGGGGATGGCCGGCCTCTGGGCCAGACCCAGGCGGGAGGGGAGGCCGGGGAGGCCACGTGTTCCCTTGGCACTGCCCAGCACCCCAGGATGCGGCCGGCGCCACTGGGAAAGCAGAGGAGATGAGGGTCAGATCTCCTCTGGGTTCACGTCCAGGTCTGGGTGCAGGAGGCTCCTGTCCCTGGGGCTTAGGGGAGAGGAGTTCTGCCCCAACCTGGAGGGCAGGGGGGCCGTGGGCAAGGGGCTGGCAGGGCCCTCGGGCAGGAGGGGCTCGGTCCAGAGATTCAAGGTCACATCCCGTTCGCCAGGCCCGGGCTCAGGGGAGTGAGCGCCAGGACCTCTGCCAGCTGGTCACCCAGCAGCGTCCACAGAGGGCCCCACAGGTGGCACCCCCCTGGGCCTTGGCTTTGCACCGGGCACGGGAACTTCCCCCCCAAGGCCTGAGTCAGGAGCGGGGCCAGTCCCCAGGGCCGGGCACTGCCGCCCAAGCATCTCCTGCCCCAGCTCTGCTTCTAGGCCAGAGGGAGCCGAGTATACAAGTGGCCTGGCTAAACGGGTGCCACCCCTCCTTCCAGTCACACTCAGACCCATCTGCAACCCATCTCTCTCACTGTCCCAAGGGCCCATGGCCACAGAACCCAGAAGGCAGCTCTGGGCACTGCACACTCTGCCCGGAAACAAAGGGATGTCATCTGATATCTGGGCCACTGTCCCAGCTATTTGCACACCTCTGGACCAGGGCCAGCAAGGAGGAGAGGCAGGCCCAGGGCTCGGGGCTCAAGAGACGGGCTTTGTCCTGCTGACATTCCTGACCCCCGGCTTCCTTTCTCCTTATGTGATGTTTTGCGTGCGTGGCCTTGAGGATCTGGACAGTGCAGAATTCACGTGCTCGGCCTTGACGTGCACTCCACCAGATTCCGTGATGTCCCATGGCTGCTAGGAACGTGTTCCCCGAAGGCAGGAGGCCACGCTGCCCGCAGCCCGCAGCCCGAGGACCTGTGGTGCCGTCCAGACAGTCTAGGTCCTCACAGCTTTCAGCCTGCGTCAACCTCCAGATTCGGAGAGGCCTGTCGTCTACCCAGACATGACAGGGTTTTGTCAGATTTTCCTGCCAGCTCCAACAGTTCTTTCTGGAAGTATGAAAATTCAGGAAATCTTGTCTCTATGAGTGCACGTTTTATCATCATGAACAGGGTGTGCGCCAGCAGGCTTCCTGTCCCATGCTCCACTTTGCCTGGCTGTGCTGCGCTTCACGGATTCAAAGTCACCATCAACTTCAAGACGACAGAAGAAAAGTTGGGGGGGTGTCAGAGAGGCCCCTGCCCCCCAGGTTGCATAATCAAGAAGTGAGCCATCACATGCAAAGGGAAAGCAGAGAAAACAGTATGTCCCACCCTCAGCACTGTGAGCTCCAGGAACAAATGCCCAGCAGGAGGCTGGTGGGAGTGAGAGGCACCCCATCTTCATGGTGTCCACTGTCCTCGAGATCACACCAATGGAAAATGCTAGCACCTATCTCCCACATCCAGTCACTGTCACTTCCTTGACCAGGCTGCTGGCTATGGCAGCCCCAACCTCCAGTCCAGAAGCAGCTGGAAAAACACCAGCCTCAAACCTGGCTTCCAGAGGGTCAGAGGCTGACCACCAGGAGCCATCTGCTGACCTCGGAAAGATGGAAGACGGGCAGAGACGAGCTGTCTAGGGCCTCGGGCAGCTCCACCATGCCGCATGTCAGGCATCCATAGCATAGTATCTGTCCTGTGCCGTGGACACCTCAGGGCTGCCCATGGGTGCCCAGCCAGGGACAGTGGAATAGTGGCCATGGCGATGGCCATGGGGACAGAGCCAGCTCTCGGTGCCAGTGAGGCAGGAGGAGGCGATGGGAGCTCCAAGGCAGCCCCACAGCCAGGAGCAGCCCTGGGCATCAGGTCCAGTCAGGCCCCGGAACCAGGCAAGGCCATAAGTAGCTAGCAACCCATGGGGAGGAGTGCACTGGTTTTAAATTGTGGGAGAGAGCAGGAGGGGGTAGTTGGGGACAGAGAGGAGGTGGGCCACTCAGCCCAGTGAGGCAGTCTCAAGTGTCCTGAGATGCCCCAGCCCCTGGGCCAGCAAGGGGGGCTTGAAATTGGCCCCTGACCCCTACCCTGAAATTGTAGTGGGGCCAAGACATCCCCCAAGGAGGACTTCTATCCATCCATAGCCGGAGGACCCTGGCTGAGCAGGTGGCCTCAGAGGCCAGCCATGGGCAGCAAGGGCAGGGGCCAATTGCCCCTTAGAGCAGACTGCTTGGGCTGTGACTCTCCTGGGTAACAGAGGAGGGGACCATGGATGCACCTCGCGAAGGGCTGTGCCCATGCCGGCCTCACCCGTCCAGCCTCACAGCAGCTGGCTCCCCTGGGATCTCTGAGTCAGCTGTCGCCTGCTTTGTTCAGGTTTTTAAAAGAGCACATATGCTTGACAAAATGAAAAAACCACCAAGCATCCAAAAAATACAGAAAATAACATCTTCCTATCTCAACTCAACCTTCAGGTGCCATCCCCAAAGTGACCCCAGCTACGGTCTAGAGACACAGAACATTCTGTGCCTAACCGGCTTCCGGGAGTCGAAGTCCTTTCTCAGCAGCAGGTGGTAAGCTGCCCCCTGGCCCCTCTTCTCGCTGTCCCTCTGTCCAGGGGTCTGAGAGGAACATCCGCCTCCTTTTCTAACAAGCACACAGCCGGCCCTGACCCAGCCAGTGACTGATGCCACCTGCAGACAGCATTCCGTGCATATCCTGGGGACACGTGTGCGTGCGTGTGCCTGTGTGTACCGTGTGTGTACACATGCGTGTGCCCATGTGCGCGTGTGTACTGTGGGTGTATGTGCAAGGTGGATTCTATACGGCACGCCCCAGGAGCAAACTGCAAGGCCAACGGTGCGCCACTTCACATTTTGACATTTTGGGGGCCACCTCATCCTCCAGGGAAACACAGGCTCCTCCTGCCACTTGCTGCCTATGACCCCCAGGCACTGGGCCACCTTCTCGAAGCCCCACCCCTACTCCAGCAGAAAACGCCTCAAAGTTTTAAGCCTTTTAAATATCTCGTGTGTTATTTTAATTCTGCAAAATAAACTCACTTAATCATAAAACTATTATTGAAAGTCATCTTGCAACTGCAAAGCCCCCTCGTTTCACATCACAAACATGAACGGACCCGCCTCTGACAAGTTAGGAGACCCACGTGAGACCAAGCCTCACAGGCCCACGGAGGCTGGGCTCCCGGCTACAGTGGGACAGGGACGGGGGACATAGCAGGGGGCCGGGGGACATGGAGGTGGTCAGGAACTGGGTCTGGGGACAGGGACGGCCACCCCTGACAGGTGGTGAGGCCTGGGGCCACAGTGGGCCCCTGACGTTCTGTGCTTAGGGAACATGGCAGTTCACCATCGGCTTTTACAAGATTATTATGGGGGCTTGCACTGCATGGGGGACCCAGTGGCAGGACCACCCACGCCCCCTCTCAGGGCTGTGGCCAACAAGGTGGAACCCCCAGGGCCACAGCAAAGCGGGGTGCGGCCTGGTCTATTTCTGAGTGAGCAGAACTGTTTGCCCGCCCGCCCTGCTCAAGATGTGCCAGCAAGAGGCCCTGCTCCTGACCTGCAAAGAGACGGACAGTGCCCGCCAAGAGGCCAGGCAGAGCGGCCAGGAGGAATCCTGCCCGAGAGCCATGTGTCACCCAGCTCCACATAGCTGGCTCCTGGCCCCTCTGACCAGGTGACTGGGCCACCCCACCTGCTGCTGGCTCCATCGGATGAAGGCCTTCTGAGCCCACAGCAGCACTGAGGGCCCATCCCAATGGGCAAAACCAAGACCGGACCAGGGTCCCGCCTGCCCCTCCCACTGACCCCAACAGGCCCCCTCAGGCCCGGGCAGGCAGCGTCTTGTAGGGATTCAGGATGCCCTTGGGGTCCAGGAGGGCCTTGAGCTGCTGCATGAGCTGCAGGGCTGCAGGCGGCTTGCTGTAGCTGAGGACATCCTTCTTCTTGAAGCCCAGGCCGTGCTCGGCGCTGACGCTGCCCTGCTGCCCGGCCGTCCACTCGTACACGTAGGGCTCCAGGGCACCCAGCAGCGACGCACTGAAGGCCTCGGCCGTCACATTGAGATGCAGGTTGCCATCGCCTGGAGGGACAGGGACCCATGGGTCAGGTTTAGCAATTTGTAAATACAAAATCAATCTTCTAGAAATAAAAAGTATAGTCACAGCAATGTCAAACTCAATGAACACGTTGAACAGCATATTATGCACAGGAAAGAGATGAATGAAGATAAAGTAAACAAAATAATCCAAATGCAACACAGTCAGAGACGTGGACAACGGGAAAGAGGCACGGAGACCACCTGAGCCTGGTGGAAGCTCCAGAAAGAGAGAAGAAAGGGGACAGAGGAAAAACAATATTTGAAGAGATAACAGCAGAGCAACTTCTCAAACCAAAGTCCACAGACTCCGGGCGGGCCCCGCAAACGCTCGCCTAGACAGACCAGAGTGAGACCAAAGAGCCTGAAGACAAAGGGAAGAGGGGAAAGGCAGCAAGAAAGAAGAGAGAGATTCCCTTCAAGGGAACAGCACTTGCACCAACGGCCAACTTTGCAACAACAGAAGTCAGAGGACAGCAGAATGACTGCCTCGCTGCAGAGGAAAGAACTGTCAACCCAGAATTGCTGAAATTCATTGGGGGACAAAAACACTTTAAGAACCAAATAGGGGCCAGCCCGTTGGTGTTGTGGTTAAGTTCGGGAGCTCTGCTTTGGTGGCCCAGGATTCCCAGGTTTGGATCCTGGGCATGGACCTACACACCGCTCATTAGGCCATGATGCGGCGGCTTCCCACATACAAAGTAGAGGAAGACTCGTACAGATGTCAGCTCAGCGACAATCTCCCTCACCAAAAAAAAAAGAACAAAATTAATACACTTTAAGGCAAAGTTACCTACTCTCCCACACTAGAGGAAGATCTAAAGGCTGAGGTTCAGGCAGAGGCTGAGGCACCAGTCAGAAGAAGGACTAGAGGAGTGGGTGAGTCTAGGCAAATGTGATCACATGGAATAACAGCAACACTGCTATCCAGGGTTAAAACAAGAGAGCACTGGAACATACTCCAAACGAAAGTGCATGAACCAGGAGGGGAGGGTGCCAGTCAAAGCTACAGGGTCGTCAGGTCCTGCCCCACATACCAGTCAGGGCCCTGCAGAGACAGAACCAACAGGACATGTACAGAAATAGGGAGAGGGAGAAGTGGGGAGAGAGAAAAAGAGAGAGGGACAGGGACAGAGAAGTCACGGAGGGAGACTGATTTTAAGGAGTTGGCTCACACTATGGGGCTGGCAAGTCTAAAATCTGCAGGGTACACCAGCAGGGTGGAGACCCAGGAAAGAGCTGATATTGCAGCTTGAGTCCATCCGGAGTCAGAATTCCCTCTTCCTCTGGGGAACTCAATCTTTTTTCTCTTAAGGCCTTCAACTGATTGGGTTAGGCCACTCGCACATGAAGGGTCACCTGCTTTACTCAAAGTCCACTGATTTAAATGTTCATCACATCTGAAAGCACACCTTCATGTTGGTGGGAATGCAAACTGGCACAGCCACTATGGAAAACAATATGAAGTTTCCTCAAAATTTTTTAACAATATTTTTAAAAATTAAAAATAGAACTACCATCGACCCCACTTCTGGGTACTTACCTGAAGGAGATGAAGTCACTATCTCATAGAGATATCTGCACCCTTCTATTCACTGCAGGATTACACACAATAACCAAGACGTGGAAACAACCTAGGTGTCCGTCAACAGATGAATGGATACACGAAATGTGATATATATCACATTTGTGTGTGTGTGTGTGTATGTATATATACACATATATATGTACACATATATACACACATATATATTTGTATATACAAATACAATGGAATCTTATTCAGCTACAAAAAGGAAGAAAATCCTGCCACATTTGACGACACGGATGGACCTTGAGGGCATTATGCTCAGTGAAATAAGTCAGACAGAAAAAAGACTAGTATGATCTCATTTGTATGTGGAATCTAAAGAAGCTGAACTCATAGAAACAGAGAGTAGATTGGTGGTTGCTAGGGGCTTGGGAGTAAAGGAAATGAGGAGACAGTGATCAAAGGGCACAAACTTCCAGTTATAAGAGGAGTAAGTTCTGGGGATTTAATGTATAGCATGGTGACTGTAGTTAACAATATTGTATTGTACACTTGAAAGTTGCTAAGAGAGTAGATCTTAAATGTTCTCACCATAAAAACAACAAAATGGTAATTATGTGAGGTGAAGGATGTGTTAACTACCCTTATTGTAATAACCATTTCGCAACATATATGCGTATCAAGTCATCACATTGTACACCTTAAATTTACACATTGTCATATGTCAATTATATCTCAATAAAAGTGACGGGGATAAAAACCATAACTTCACAGCAACATCTAGACTGGTGTTTGATCAAACATCTGGGCACATAGCCTAGAGAAGGAGACACATAAAATCAACTATCACACATTGTTCAGGAGGAGGAGAATGATACTGACTAACTTCAAACCCTGATAAGCGAAGAATGCATGCTACAATTCTAGGGGTCCACCAAAAGAACAGCCATAGCATGTACAATTCTCTAATTAGCAAATGGAAAAAACATAAATGAGAAATAATACCAACCAGAAGAAGGTAATAGAAAAAAAGAAACAGGGGAAATCAGAGACAAATACATGGCCCCAGGAGGATGAAAGAAACAAATCCAAGGAATTGAGTAATTACAGCAGATGTGAATGAGGAGAGTGGACACGCCACCCCAAAACAGGCCACCATGGAGGATTATTTTGAGCTGAAGGCACCTGGAGAAGAGGCAAATGGAAGAAAAGCTCTCTGCCCTGCCCCTCTTCTCCTGAGAACAGAACACAAATTTGTGTCCATCCCCTCCCTACCCGGAAGGACAGAGATCATCACCAGGCACACCTCTGCACCCTGAGGGGCCTGGGCACCCAGGAAGAAGCCACATCATGGGCCCGCTCATCCGTTCGTCTCCCCACTTATTCATTCACCTTACCACAGTTCACCCCAAGAAGCCCAGTCCCTCCCTTTCTCTGCAACCTCTACAGATGTTCCCTCCTTTGCTGAGATGCTCCATACACCCAAGTTCCAACACCCCTTTGCCTTACTGATCCTTGTGCATGGATGATGCACGAGTGGATGGACTGGCTTGGTTTCTTCTTGCAAATCTGTTTTATCAGTCTAATTTACAGGGCCCCAGCCAAGAACCTAGGAGGGTAGAGGAAAAAGTTGAGCTTTCCCTCCCCTACTTCAAGAAACCAAATGCTCTAACTTGGAGACAACAACTGTCTTTACGAATGTCAACGGCAAACTGAATGAAGGAGAATCCCCAGCTCTATGCCGTCTCCAAGAGACAAGTCTAGATCTTAGGATAGAAAACGGTCAGAAGCAACAAGAGGAAAACAGTATGTCAGGCAAACCCTAAATAAAAGAAAGCGTGTGTTACCATAAAGTATCAAACGCAACAGGCCACAGGGCAAAAAGCAATTGGAGAGCTAAGAAGAATGAGTCCATTGTGACGAAAGATCAGTTGACCAGAAACATATGACAGTTCTAATGTTCCAGCTTCAAAACTGACGGAGCTACAAGGAGAAACAGATCAGTGTATTGTCAAGTGAGGGAATTTTGCCACCCCCCGCAGTAATGACAGCCCAGCAGATGGAGACGGTTAAACAGCACAATGCACACATTTGATCTGCTGGATCCGTGGCAACACTGGCTTCACCAAGGGCAGAGAGCACATTCTCTTCACGTACTTATTAAACGGTCATGAAAACGGACCAGATGCCAGGTCGCTGACTGACTTTCAACAACCTGGTAAAGTCCAAGTTCTCTGGCTTCGGGGCAATTAGCAACAGGTCAATAATTTCAAAAATAACTGGAAAATTCTCATATGTTTGGAAATTTAAAAATCACATTTCTGCCTAACTCGTGGGTCAAAGAAGACATGACAATGGAAATTGGCAAATATTTAGAACTGAAGGATAATGAAAGTGCTTCCACACAAAATTGGGGTTCTCTTGCCCAATGCCCATAAGCAGGCCAATTAATTACGGCATCAGCCTTTGGGAAAAGAAATCAGCTTTACTCTGCGAGATGGATCTGCAGGGAGATGGGGAGTGTGCCCTCAGATCTGTCTCCCCGATTCAGGATTTGGGGTGAAATTTAAGAGGTTAGGGAGAATGGGCTGGCACTCAGAAACACTGATGGGACAGGTTTTAAGTGGTGGGTTTCAAGCCTTTATGGTAAGGTTTTAAACATTTATGACAGAGTTCTAAACATTTATGATGAGGTTATAAACTTTTATAATGAGATTCTAAACATTTATGCTGAGGTGGGGAAGGAATTTGAACCCTGGATCACCCTGAATGAGGGACCCCTCGCTTCTGATGAGAGTCCGACTTCTAAGTTCCGAGTCCCAGTCCTTGGGCTCCGTAGAGAGGAGGACCTGGTTCCACAATCATTTCAGGTCATGATTTCTTCTGCTGCTCATGCCCTGCCTACATGACTCTGAAGATTTTCTGAAAGGCGATTCTTAATCACTCTTTTGATAAGAGATGGGGTCAGTTGAATTGGTCCTGGAGGGCCCATGGTTATGAAAGTACCATAAAAACTCGTGGGACCTCAACAAAAACACACAGCATGTCTGGCTGTTGACATCAGTTGCCCGTAGGGACCTCACAAGCTGGACCAAAAACCCACGAGCTCATCTGGCTGGAGGCGCCCTCCGTCCACACCTCTGAGACCAGGGCTGAGTTAGGGCTGCTCAGAAGGGAGACACTGAAACCAAAGGGCCGGCAGCACCAAGAGGCCAGGACACTGGAGTCCTTGCACGTGGGATCAAAGCATGAGCTGCAGAGGCGTCCACACGGCCCAAAAGCAGTGCCTGGTTTATGACAACACATGGATTCCCGGGCCAAGCGTGACCTGAGCGACAGCAATGGAGCACCTTTGAGACCATGTGTTGAGTCTGCGGAGGTGACAGAGATCCTATGTAGCACAACCACCTGTGGGATCCGTGGAAGTAGAACGTGGAGGGAAATTTAAAGACTTAAAAACGAAGAAAGGCTGAAAATCAGTGAGCCAGTACTTAATTGATAAAGTTAGAAACACAACAGAATGAACCTAAAAATGGAGAAGGATTGAAAGTAGTACAAGGAATAGCAGGAAAGCATGAAACAGAAAACAATACGCAATAGGAAGTATCGACAAGGCCAACGCCAATTCGCTGGGGACATTGTAAAGTGGATAAACACTCAAAAATCTGAGCAAGAGAGAAACAGAGAGGAAACAAACTAGATCAGGAAGTAAACGGGACCTCCCCCAAATGCTGGACACCATACAAGAGAACAAAAGAACATTAGGAACAACTTTATGCCAAGATACCTGAAATTTTAGAAGAAACAGACAAATTCCTTGAAAAAAAACCTACCAAAAGCAATTCAGAAGAAAAGGAAAGCCAGGATAGTCCTGTAGCTTTTGACGAGATCAGTCTGTAGTCAAATCCTGACCCCCAAAAAAGACAAAAAAATCTTTATGCCGAAATATCTTCATTGGCAAATTCTGGTAAACATTCAAGGAGGTGGTAACTCCAACCTTACCCAGACTCTTCCAGAGACTAGTAAGAGGGCTGTCCCCAAACCGTCCTGTGACTACAACACCAACATCCAGCGTGGATGGGAGAAAAACACTCATAGGACAACATCACCCAGGAAGATACCTGAGACAGTCCTACACGGGATACAAATAAATGGGATCAAACAGGACACAAAGAGGGTTGTGGCCAAGCTGGGCTTATCCCAGGAATACAGATTCATGTGCCTCCAGAGGGTCTGGTGTAATTGGACTCACTGACTGACTAAAGAAAAGCAAGCACCAGTCGTCTGGGTCCATGCAGAGAAAGCATTCAACAAATTCCACAGCCTTCTCTCCATCTCTGACCCTGACGGTTTGTGTGTCTGTGACAGAGAAAGAGTGGAGTCAGTGCCCTGAGAGGAGAAGGTCTCCCGGCCAGCGGCCCAGGCTCTCAGGTTGCGCATTCTCACTGGCAGCCTTGGTCTGCACGCCCCAGCTCTGGGTGAAGATGGCCCTCCGTGCCCTTCCTCCACTCCCGTTCAGGCGTCCACCCTGTGGATTGTGCGCCCAGCTCTCGGCTGCCCGCAACAACCCTCCCACATGGTGTCCTAACCACACTGCTCCTCGCCCCAGGGTTCCCCCGCAAACGCCAGATTTGCAAGTCCCCCAGCTTTGCCCGCCAACGCTCCCATTCAGGTTGTTTGACAACAGAAGTATTAACTTTCAGCTCAGTCAGCTATTAATCTCTTCCTTCATACCTCATGCCTCCTGTGTCACGTTGAAGAAATCCTTCCCCAACCTCAAGGCCATGCAGATGTTCTCTGGATTTTCTTCCAAAAAGTGTCAAGTTCCGCCCTTCACAGGGAGGTCGCTAACCCACATGGAATGATACTATGTGGGAGGGCTGAGTGATCTTGTTCCTAGGATAACAGTTGCCCTGGGCACTGACAGCTCTGAAAATCCCATCCCCCCTGTTGGGCCTCCATGCCAGCCTACCGCTCTCTCTCCCGCCCCAAGTCAGAGCCCGGGGAGAGGCCAGCTCAGCCCCTGCCTGTCCCCTTCACTTTGGGGGCTCTGCTTTTAAGGCGGACTCTTGTTTTTTGATAATGAAGGTTACCAACTGCCATAGATCGGATATACCAGACTTACCACTTGCTCCCTAGGCTGGGTAAGTCCACTGACCTCTCTGAGCCTGTTTACAGAAGCATAACAGGAAGCAAGGGCACCACCCATAGAAACGGTGTGGAGATTAGTCCCTGCACATCGTGTTTAGCGTGGTGCCTGGGACAGGTAGGCCCTTCCCAAACAATACTCAACACGACGTGTGACAAGAAGTCAGAAGCTATGCCCCGCACCCCTCCCCCTACCTCGCCTCCCCTGCACACAGGCCTCTTAGGTGCCCTATCCCAAAGGCTGCCAAGAATTGAGAGGAATGAGATATTTCCTTCTGGTGGATTAATAACTTACAATTCAAAGCTTGATTTTTCTGCAAAAAAAAACATTATCTGGAACTGGTGTTGAAATGCTTCTAAGTGAAGACGTGGGGCACGGGTGAGAGCTCCTTATCAGACCCTGAAAGGGCTGACACAGCCAAGGGTGGGGCTGAGCTCAGACCCAGGGTGCAGGGTCAGCGGCCTCCTACCGCCTCCCACAGAGCTCCCAGATGCCTGCGCTCTGCCACGGAAACACAGGGGCGGTCTTCTCCAAAATCTCCGAAAGAACCATGAAGACAATCAGGATTCTCTCAACGTCTGGGTTTCCCCATCACCGTCCAAAGCATGGAGCCCTACTGCACGCCCACAGACCAGCCGTCAACCCACGGTCACCCCACCACCAGCCCAGAGCCAGGCCCTGCTCACCCAGGTGGCCATAGCCCACCACATGCTTGGCCTGCGGGCCGAGGCGGGCGCGCAGGTCGCTCACGAGGTCGTAGAGCCGCTCCACGGGCAGGGAGATGTCATACTTGTACACACAGCCGTCCCGGCTCAGCGCCTCCGTGATCCTCTCCCGCAGGGCCCACAGCATCTAGGGTTGGGGGAGAGGAGGCGAGTCACCACGTCTGATGATCGGGGGGCCAAGATGGTGACAGTGAGTGGATGGCAAGGCGTGGGGTACTGGGAAGGTCACGAGGCACAGAAATGTTCTGTGTCGTGACAGGTGCAGGGCCTCAATCCAAGAGTCAGTGCTGGACAAGGTTGCCAAACACAGCCACAGGCTTGCCCCGGACAGCACCGAGGCCCCATTCCGGAAGAGGAGGGCAATCCCGGAGGATGCAGGAGCGTGTCCTGTAACTCCAGGGGATGAGAAGCAGTGACCTCAAGAAGCACGGAGCAAAGGCAGGGTCAGGGCAGAGAGAGTGTGGGCAGCACTACAGACGGAGGGGACAGGGCCGCAGGGCCCTGCGCTTCCTGAGGGACACACAGGGAGGGACAGAGGGTGCTGCTGGCTGGAACGGGACAGTGGGGGGCACCTGGGGATGGGGGCTAGTTATGAGGAACGCTGCCCTTCCAGACAAACACATCAGTGGTTTACTTGTTTGAGTTGGTCAGCTTGTCACTGTGGACATTTGAACACTTGTGACTGAGCAGAGAACACAGTGCCATGCGCGCTGTCCCCCTGGGCCTTGTCCCTGCTCCCGCCCTCCACATATTCCACCATGTCAGGGAGCATCATGGTGAAATTTCTACAAGGTGAGGACTCTTCCTTTGTTTTCTAACATAACCAGAGTGCCACGATCACCTCTCAAAACATAACAAGAATTCCTTACTGCCACGGAATATCCAGCCAGTGTCCAGGTTTCCCCAATTCTCTGGATTTTTACAGCCCCATGGGTCACTCCAGACTCTGGCCATCAGCAGCTCCCAGTGGCCAGACCCTCCCCACACACCCAGAGCCCCAGGGACCCCCAGCTGGACACCACCCTGGATGCCCCAACTGGGTCACCTGGGCAGTCAGTCACCATGCTAGTCCCAGGACAGGGAGCGAGGGCAGGTCTGAGCTCATTAATTGGAGATAAACCAGGCTGCACACGGGGTGCGCCTTGACAAACAGCCTGAAGACAGGTGATTTTTGTAACTCCTCACCTGTAATATTCAATAAGCAGAAAAATTAGTTGTAAAGAAAAAGGCTTAATAATAAAGTAGAGAGAGAAAGTCAATGAGGCCGATGGTTGAGAGTCAAGGAGCCTGAGATCCCGCCCCCCACCCCACAGGAGGGCCCACATCCAGAGCCAGCCTCCAACTCCCACCACCTTCCCGCCCCCTGCTGGCCACTCTCCACGCTGCAGCCCGAGGGACCATGGGGAAGATGGGGGATGGTGACTCCCACTGCCCCAGGATCCCTTGCTGTGATGGTGACAATGGCTCCCCATAGCCCCAGGCCTTTCACCTGCCCCCTCAACCAGGATGGTGATGACCCAGGTGCCCCCTGCATAATGGTGATCATGGCTCCTCAATGCCACAGGCCCCACTCTGTGATTGTGATATGGTTCCCACAGCCCCAGGCCCCACCCCTCATGATACTGATGATGGCCCACACTGCCACTGGCCCCCTCCCCCTCCTTTGTCCTCAGAAGCCAAGTCATTCTCTGGTGCTACCATCAATGCCTTTCCACCCCGTGACCAACTCAGCTTCAGCTAACCCTCCCATGGCCCCTTGCGGTTCTTTCCGCGTTTGTTTTAAAGCACTGCTGAGAATGATCTAGACTCTAAGAGTATGTTTCCAAAGAGGTTATTCTATCACAGGCAGGGACACCTGCTCATGTTCAGCCACAACCCACACTCTCCAAGGTGCCAGATGTCAGATGGCACCTTCTGCATGCCCCCGATAAGCTGGAGTGGGTGGAAGGGAGGGAGGGAGGGGGCGCCAACAGCACACACACCTTCACTCTCCTCTGATCAGTGGCCAGGGTCCCATCTGTCACGAGGCCGAAGTCCAGCACATGCTCCAGGAAGCTGCTCAGCTTCTCAGCATCATGCCCCGCTCTGGAGCCCGAGGTCTCAATCAGTACATAGAATGGACTTTCTGGAAGGGGCAAAAAGCACACTGAGCAAAGGTAGAGGTGGTGGGGCAAGAGTCAGCACAGCCCTGGGTCAGCACAGCTGAAATATCTCTGATGGCCCTGGTGGTGCCGAGAAGGGCCCCAGGCTGGAAGAGCAGCAGCTCTCTGCTTAGGCAGAATTTCAGACAGTTTAAAAATAGGTCTTTCCCTAAAAGAGAAACCATGCTCCCCGGAAACATAGGAACAATCCCGGGGTGATGCCGTGAAGGCCTCACATTGGTGCCTGGAGGGAACGAGGGGCGCAGAGAGAGCCGGGACTGCAAGGGGCAAACCGTGGGTGGTGGGGAGTCCGTGGGCCAAGGAGAGGCCTCTAGGCCCAAGAGAGCCCGTGACGACCACAAACGCTGCCATGCTACATGCAAAAAGTGCATGCCTTTTACCACAAGCATCTCTTTTTTGACCTCTAAAAAAATGTGCATTACTAACTTATTCAGGAAAATTTTACCCTTTTTTTTTGAGGCTTCTGTGAATTACTCTTTACATTTATTGAAATCAATAAATGAAAAGTCACTGAATGGCACTGCTCCTTCTTTTAGCACTACGTTAAAGTTTCTTCCAGAAAAATGCTACAAGTTCACCCTATGACAAAAAGAGTGTTTTTCAGATACCGGCATTTTTCCACGCTGAAATGGAAATTCTACTCTTAAATTTATCATAGGTCCCACAGAACACCGGGAGTTTTTAAATTTTTATTGGCTCTTTTCCCCATTATAAAAGTAAAACATGCTGGGCCAGCCCTGGTTGCCTAGTGGTTAAGTTTAGCGTGCTCCACTTCAGCGGCCCGGGTTCGGTTCCCAGGCACGGGACCTACACTGCTCTCTTAGCGGCCATGCTGTGCTGGCAGCCCACATACTAAAAAATAGAGGAAGACTGGCACAGATGTGAGCTCAGGGCAAACGTTCCTCAGCAACAACAACAAAAAAAAGTAAAACACGCTTATAAAAGGAGACTTGAAAAACAAAGAAAAGCAGAATTTTTTTAAAAGTCCCAGATCACCAAATATAGCCACTGTTAATATTTCAACATAGTTTCTTCCTCTTTGCTCTACATGGTCAAGGAGATTTACATAACTGCAAACCTGTCAGAGGACAGTGGGGTGGCCTGTCCCTTGCCTTAAACATTTCATTAAGAGTAGCTTCCTCACACGTGATGCCCAACAGCCACACAGTGCTCCACCCAGGGACCCTCCATTCCCCAGGGACCCTCCATCTGCCCAGGGACCCTCCATCCCCCAGGGACCCTCCATCCCCCAGGGACCCTCCATCCGCCCAGGAATCCTCTATCTTTCCAATGGTTGCATCCTGTCTTATTTCTTTTGCACTGGACATTTGGGTGGTTTCCTGTTTTATTATACTAAAAGTAGCACCTTACTAACAACTTAGGGCACAAAGAGCTTTCTATATTTATGATCATGATGGACTGAATGATGTGTCCCCCCCAATTCCCATGGTGAAGCCCTAACCCACCCCCAACATGACTAGATTTGGAGATGGGCCTTTAGGGAGGAAATTAGGGTTAAATGAGGTCATAGAGTGGGACCCGGATCTTATAGGGCTGGTGCACTGGTATGAAGAGGAAGAGACCCCAGAGATCTCTCCCTACACACACAGAGGAGAGGCCACATGAGGACGTGGGGAGAAGACGGCCGTCTGCAAGCCGGAAAGCCGGCCCCCACCAGAAACCAAACCTGCCGGCACCTCCATTGTGGACTTCCAGCCTCCAGACTGTGAGAAAGAAACATCTTTTGTTTAAGCCCCAAGTCTGTGGTGTTCTGTTAGGGCAGCCTGAGCTGAGACAAGGATCATTTCTTTAGGGTAGATCTCAGAAGTGAAAACACCAAGATCTGAACATTTTTAACCTCCAGGTTCCTAATGCCAAACTGCTTTCCAAAACGCAGCATCAATTTATAGCCAGCAGTGACTAAAAGAGCTGGGTGTGTTGAACTTCTTATTTGCTCGTTCAGAGGGAACTTGCTGAGACCCAAGGGTGAGCACAGCTTGGAATGACACTTCTCCTAGTTGAGGAGACAGGTGGGCATTTCTCATGAGTGCATTTTGTTCTGAAGACTCCAGAGCTAAGGCACCCCCAACCGCATTCGTCTGAACTAACTCCAGGGGCATGTTCAAAACGAATGCAAAGAGAAGTCCATGCTCATCCAATGCTGGCGACACCAGAACTACGGAGATATCAACATCCTTCTTGCTGCTTCCTACTTTATGGATGGCACTAAGGCCTGACAGCCTCTGAGCCATCCCACATGTCACATGGCACAAAAGGAGCAGTGGGCACTACCCTGCCAGGTGGAGGTCAGTACCTTGCACTGGGCTGACGAGACCCAGGTGGTGCCCAACCAGCTGCATGCACTCGGCATCCATGAACTCGAATGCCGACAGGATCTCGCCCAGCATCCCCTTGCAGGTGCTGAAGGTCTGCAAAACCTCGGCAAAGCCTGGACAACCTGCAACAGTGCACGGCGCCTCAGGCACATGCACAACCAAGAGGCAGCAGGGTCCCCATCATGCCGCACCCACAGCCTCGCCCACAGACCACCCAAGTCCCCCTTTAAAGCAGCAATGCCAACCCAACCCCTTACGATGCAAAGATCGGTGATCCAGGTGAGAGGGAGGGATGGTGGTTGTCCTTACGGGAGTGTGTTAATTACCCCACGGTATTGAACAGAACAGTGTCCTTGATCTGACACCAAATGACACCATTTCTCTCAGAATCTTACAGTATAAGCTACTGAAACAATGAACAAAATGGGGTGAAAGATGTGGGCAAAGCCCCAGTGTTGCTACAAAATAAAGTGTGTTCTGCCCAGAGATGGGAAGGCTTGACTCCAGACCCACACTCTGTGGACATCAACAAGGCCGGGTCCTGGATTCCTTCAGAGGCAGAGGGAAGCCAGGATAAATGGGAACAACCGCCCTGTGAGGGCCCCTTCCGTCCCACCTCGCACCAATGACAGGGCAGGAAGGAGACCTGGCTCTGACCAGTTTCCATCAGAGAGGCGGGTACTCAGCCCTGATGGCCCACCTACCGAGGAAGGCCACATTCACGGCCCTGGGCTTGGGCGGACACAAGATGGACACGGCAGTAATGACCCCCAGGGTGCCCTCTGACCCAATGAAGAGCTGCTTCAGGTCATAGCCCGTGTTGTCCTTCCGCAGGGAGGTCAGGCAGTTCAGGACAGTGCCATCAGCGAGCACCTGGCGAGGGAGAAGAGAAAAGAGGCATTTATGCACCCGCCGACCATCCTAATAGATGTCCCCTCCTCTACCACCACACTCAAGGGAGGCTGACCCAGCCCAGGGCACTCTGAGAAAGCCAAGCCAGTCATGAGCCCCCTACTCCACCCCAGTTTGGTCCAGGAATGCAGGTGGCCCAGGGTGGCACTGGGCCTGAAGTCACTCAATCAGGCTGAAGGAAGGAGTTGTCTTCTCTGGTTGGAGCAAAGATACCCCCACCCCCATCCCACCCCGCCACCACAATCAGGAAGCTCAGGGCCCAGATTTCAAGAGAAGCTGGCCTGAAGTAGGATGCACACCTGGGGGTGGAGCAGGGTGCACACTTGAGGAGGTGGAGCAGGGCACACCTGGGGATGGAGCAGGGCACACCTGAGGAGTGGAGCAGGGCACTCCTGGGGAGGTAGAGCTGGGGAGCAGGGCAGGGCACACCTGGGGAGGTGAGCAGGGCACATCTGGGAAGGTGGAACAGGGCACACCTGAGGAGTGGAGCAGGGCAGACCTGGGGAGTGGAGCAGGGCACACCTGGGGAGGTAGAGCTGGGGAGTAGGCCAGGGCACACCTGGGGTAGAGGTGCACCAAGGCCCACCCACCTCTGGACTCCTCATCCATAAAGCACCACAGTCTTGCTCTGTAAGCCTGTCTGAGTCTTGTTTGCTGGCACATTTAGTCAGAAGCTACTGACACAGCTCGTAAAATATGGGAAAGCAACTTACAACAAAAATAATCTGCAGCTGGCCAGAAAACAAAGCTACTGGAACTTAGTGATTTTGGAAGTCCAACTCGCAGTTTTGTGTTCGTCCCATCCCTGGGTAAACAGGACAGAGGCTCCGCGCCATAGAAAACCATGAAGTGTGCTACACGGGCTAGGTGAGGGTTCAGGGAAATGGACTCAACAGTCCTGGAGGGACAGCTAGCAATGGTGTCACTAAAGGCTAACAGAACCTCACTCCTTCTCTGTGCACGAAGTTGACCTGGAAGCCCCACCCGGTGGAATGTCACTGGGTCAGGGGAACCTGCCGATGGTGAAGGGTCCCAGAGCTCCTCACATGGACCGGGAGGGAGCAGACGCATCATCAGTCTCTTGGGAAACCAGAGAGCAGCCTCCCTGAGCGGCGTGCTGTGTGCAACCCCCATGTCCATGGCTGGACTGGAGCAAGGCCAGGGGCTGTGACACTGGGAACCAGAATCCCCAGTATGGGACATGGCCGCACCTGTCCAGGTGGCCTCACCCATCTGCGCCACCTGGGGCCCAAGCAGGCAGTCCCCACGTGGCCACTGCACCACCCAAGTGTCCATGCAATTATCCATCCTTACACAGGAAGCATGAGACCTAAAGAGACCTGCCTGAGGGCACATGGTGTAGACCTGACAGAGTCAAGCCAGGATGGGCGCCACCCAGAGACCTCGCGAGCATGCTAATCACTGGGAAAAGGCTGGAAGAGCAGGGCCACCAGAGACTGGGACAGGGGACATGGAGGAAGCCAGGCCAGGTGTCCCGGGAAGCAGGGCCAGCGCTCAGACACGTGGCAGTGGCAGGGCCCCCAGCTCACCACTTCCAGGCCCAGGACAGTCCCGTGCAGAGAGCCGTATCGCAGAAACCGGAGGCCACCCGCGTTGGTCGCCACGTTTCCCCCGATGTGGCAGCTGCCCTTTGCGCCTAAGTCCAGGGGCATGATGAAGTCCCGCTCCTCCACGTACCGGCTCAGCTCCTCCAGGATGCACCCTGCCTGGCAAACCAGAATCCCTGCCAAGCAAGCAGAGCCACCACAGTGCTCACGGCTCAGGGTGAGCGGGAACTCACCTCGGGGTCCTGCAGGTGTAGCCACCTGGAAGTAGCAACCACTGGGAACTCAGGCCAGGGAAAAGGATCATGTTCCCCTGTCCTCCCCCAGAAGTTAGCTCTATGATTAACCATGAAAAAGAAGAAAAATTGATAAGGCAAAAATAGAGAAGAGAAAAACCTCGCACACATGCTTAGGAGCAGCAAAGAGGATTGCTATAAGGCAGCGATCCTCAACTGGGGGCCATTCCGCCCCCCATGGGACATGTGACAAGTCTGGAGACATTTCTGGTTGGGGTGCTGCTGGCACGGAGCGGATGGAGGCCATCGCCCTACAGCACACTAATGCCCCCGCCAGAGAATGATCCAGCCCCAAATGTCCTGCTCGAGAGGCAAAGACCACAACGTTGCTGGGCCCTGAGCAGAAAGCCCCTTTACACTTATTTGAACCTCACATGGCCCTAGAAAAGGGGGTCAGTATAAGCCACCTAAGTGAGAGACTAAATAATACTACAGACACGTCCAGGGGCCGGGTGCGGATAGAGCTGCTCCTTTCCCGGGCCCTGGTCCCCACCCCAGCCCCAGTGGAAGACACCGACGGGCAGCTCAGGCTCACCAGACACGCCGTGGAAGCTGATGACCTGGTTCATGAGGGCAGTGGACAGGATGATCTCATCGAAGACAGGGACGCTGCCCCCCACCATGCCCGTGTTGCCCCCCTGTGGGTTCACCGCCAGGTTCCTCTCGTGACAGTACCTAGGACAAGCACAGGAGGGGCATGAGCGCCCCACACCCAGGCCCACGCCACCACCCCCGCAGAACACACTCCAGCCCACCCCTGGCTGTAAGGAGCCAAACCCAGATTCCAGTTCCCACCCCTCCTGCCACCAAGCCAGGCTGCCTTCTGTCCGCAGCCTCGAAGGGGATGCCTCCTCAGCCCCCACGTGGGATGGGGGTCTGAGAAGGCCAAACTTCTATCACAAAGCTGCACGGGGCAGTGGAGGCTGACATTTCCTAGATCACAGTGTTGTGGGGGCAGGGGAGTGGCTCAATACCCTCAGAGGTCACTCGCTGCTCTAAGTACAGAGGCCGCCAGCAGTAGCCCCTTCCTGTTCACCTAAAGAAACACAACTCCCCAGGGCCCTCGGGCTCCCTGCGCCCCCTCACCCCATGGTTCACACCCCTTAATCCCAGCTGCGTCCCCATCCCTGACCACCACCCTTCAGACATGCATCAGAATCAGCAGCAGCACCTCGTCCCCACCAGGCTCCAACTTTGCAAAGACCTCAACTGAGGGCCCCGACGGGCCAGGGTTTGGAGAACGGGCGCGTGCACCCCTGAAAGGCAGTGTTCCCACATGCGTCAAACGAACCCACCCTGGAAGGCAGCAAACCTCCAGTGATGGAGTGTGACGGGGCAGGTGCGCATGCACCCAAGTTCACCTGCCAAGGCAGTTCTGAAGCATTATTTACAACAATGTAAAACTGGAGACCACTTCAAGGGGCAACTTCGGGGGACTGATACATTGTAGAGCATTCGTGGGGTGCATACCTTTCAGGCATTAAAAATGGGGGAGAAGAATATTAGCAGCAAGAAACAGGCACGGATATTGGCAAATGGAAAAAAAAAAAGACAAGTCAGAGACATAATGTGGTAACATTTAAAAAACACACCCCTGCAGAAAGATACTGAGATAACACACCCAAATGTCATTAGCGGTTATCTTTGGAGGTGAAACTATTGGTTGCTGATTGCATTTGCATTTTTTTGTTTATGGTTTTCTGTTTTCCAATTTCTCTGTAATAAACATGCTAGCATATCGATACAAAGAATCAAAGAACACATTTCTCTGTCAAAGGTCTGCTTCCTTCCCTGACATGTACCACAAGTCTGCAGCCACTCCCCATGCGGGACTCGCCCAGGCATCCCGAGATCCTGAGATTCCAGGGCCTGGCCCTGCTCGGGAGGGCCTTGGAGCACGGCACTGGAACCTTCCCTCCTGTGTCCCCAGCCCTGTCCCTGCCGGCTTTGTGGGGTCTGCGTCTCTTGTTTCTTGTGTCTTCATGAGGAAACTCCTAGACACAGAAACAAGGGCAGGCAGGGGGCATGGCGCCTTCCCATTACCTGAGGATGTGAGACACCTCCTCTGTCGTCTGGGGCTTCAGCAGCACCTTGCTACAGCCTGCGACAGAAAAGAGTCAGCCCATCACACAATGTAGAGGGGAGAGACCCGGCTACACTCCAGAAAAACAATGCCCTTCACAAGCACTTTCTCCTTTCTCGGTGCATGACCCACACAACCACGGTTATCAGTAGGCCCCAAACCTCAGGAACAAGAGCAAGGGGCTGGCCCCGTGGTGCAGCGGTTAAGTTCACATGTTCCGCTTTGGCGGCCCAGGGTTCGCTGGTTCAGATCCCGGGTGCAGACATGGCACTGCTCAGCAAGCCATGCTGTGGTAGGCATCTCACATATAGAGGAAGACAGGCACACATGTTGGCTGAGGGCCAGTCTTCCTCAGCAAAAAAAAAAAAAAAAGAACAAGAGCAAGGTGTCAAAGCATCCCGTCCTGCTGGAGGGAGGTGGAGGGGCCAGCAGGCGGCAGGTTGTGGGATGGAGCTGGGCCCCTGGGAGCAGTTCCAAAGCCCTGCCAGCATCCACAGCTACCAAAGCCAGCGATGGTGAGGGTGGCTCAGATCCCGTGGTTAGGGGCGCCCGCCTGGCTTCTCCACACCAAGTTACCGTGTGTCCTTGATAATCAATACGTATCTGGTGGGAGACACTTGAGACTACGCAGACATCCTCTTGCTCCTCACGTTCACGCATGAATTTTAGCATCTGCCTGAAGCGCTCCTTAGGATCTTTGCCAAATGGTGATTTTTCGCAATTCATACATCTGCCTATGTTTTATTAGTCGACTTTCTACTGTAAAGAGCAGCTTTCCCTTCTCTCTCACGTATTTATTTATTTAATCATGTCAGTATGGGCTTGTGGGCTCTTACTCTACTCACTGGGTTACCACCTTTGCTGTCGTGATTCGGTGCCCAGACGTGAAGGGTGGGAGTCCAGCAGTATCCTAAGCACTGTCTCCCGAAGACCGTCAAGTTTCTTGCTGCCCTCTTGATTTTGTTGAAAGCACTTTAAATCGGTAAGAGGAGTCTGCAGAAAGCCAGGAGGAACGCGGAGCACATGTTCTTTTTACATCACTGACTTTTTATGGAGCTTTGAGATCAGCTGTAGCTTCTACACTACTTTTTATATTCTGAAAGCCATTTCTCATTCACTTTTCATCAAATGAGCAATGTTTGCCCAGGGGGCTGGCTGTCCGCTGTCTAGGCCTTCAGAACAGCACAGTCCAGGGACCCTGGTCACCAGCAAGGTTCCTGTTGGTTTCACTCCCTCCCTACGGGGTTCCTCAACAATATTGGTGGACACCCTGTGTATCCGGCCCAGAGAATAAAAACAGACAAGATCACTCTCGTAAAGTTTAGCTTTGATGGGGGAAAGGATAATAAAACGAGACAGTCACTCCAAACGGTCCAATATATTAATAACAGGAGCCCACAAAGAGAACGAGGCACAGAGGAGAGAAATCATCAGAGACAACCCGACAAACTGCCCTGGACTGGAGAAAATGGGTGTCCAGATGGAAGAGCCTGGGGACTGCCCAAGCTAGTGAAGGGACACAGGCGGACAGGGTCGGGGCGTCCCCCCACGGCTGGCAGCTTTCCCCCAACTCTGAATACCCTCGCTGGGCTCTAGGCGGCAGGTCCCTGCTGGTGGACTGCCCTTAGTTCCTGCACGTTCTGCGTCCTGCCCACCGCCCGCCAGCAACACCCTCTGGTTTTTGTGACAACCAGAAAGTACAACCGCCACCCCCGACGCTGCCAGGTGCCTCAGCTCCTGGAGGAGAGCCAGTGTGCCCAGCTCACTCCCGGAACTCTGCCACCGTCACTCGTCACTCGGGAGCAGCTGCTTCCCGCGACTTCTGAGCTCCCCACCACCTTCTCATTTCAGCATCTCTGCTTCCCCTGCAGCCCTCTGAGGGCAGCTGGTTCCTCACCCTCACTCAGGGTGCCACTGAGCTCAGGGTGCGGAAGGTGCCCTCCTTGCCCCACAGCCTCTTCCAGGTGCCAGATACCCACCACTAACACATCTCGTCCCAGCATGCATGAACCCGGTAGGTGCCCTGGCTCGCCGTCTACCAGCTCCCCCTGGTGACTTCAGGACCCACCTACAGCAGGGGCCAGCAAACCACGGCCCACGCCAAATCCAACCTGCTGCTCGTTTTGTAAGTAGAGTTTTATGGAAACAGTCACACTCCCTGGATTGTGGCTGCTTTGACACGACCACAGCAGAGGCGAGGGGCTGCGACAGAAACTGTGAGGCCGGTAAGGCTGAGACATCACCATCTGGCCCTCGACAGGACTGGCCGACCAACAGGTGAGACCCCCGACTCCCAGGCTCAGAGGCTGCGTCTCGTCTCCCAAGGGCCTGTCATCCACCCCGAGCCAGCCTCCTAACATCCCACCCCTGGGAATCTCCAGGCCAAGGGTCTCACTCCCCAGACGCCATCCATGACATTCGGGTTTGCTCCCTCAGGACGCCCTCTGCAGTCGTCCATGGCCTCCCTGGTCCTGCCTGCCTGGCCCAGAGCCAGCGGTCTTCATGCTCACCCTGGCCTGGCATCCCCTCCCCCGGGTCACAGTTTCACACCTGCCGCTCCCCCTCTTCTCCGTCCTCATCTCAGCCAACCCACTTCCTATTTCACTCAGAACAAGCCACCCCCACCTGCTCCTGCCCCCACCCACACTGCCTTTCCTCCAGGGACTGGGCACCGGTCCCTCGAGGACAAGGCTCCAGTCCCCCAATTCTGACTGCATCATCAATTTTCCCTCTCTACCGACCATTCCTGACAGTGCAAGCCTGCTGTAACGGCCACTCACCCTAAAACCAAAATGAAAAGAAAACCCTCTCTCGACCCCTGTTCCTCGAAGCCCGGCCACGGCTGCCCCCTGGACAGCACAGCGCCTCCCGGTCCCTTCCCCTCCTTCGAGCCCCAGGGATGGCTCGAGCGGTGCATTCATCCCTTTCCCGCACGGCCCCCCGCAATGCCCGAGGCTGTCCTGTCTCAGCCTGTCCTGGCATCTGCTCCTGACCCAGGACCCTGCCTCCCGACCTTTCTCCCAGGCCCAGCCACTCCTGCCCTTCACTCATGGCAGACCTGCGGCCCCACACCCCCCAGGCCTGAGGGCCATCTGGACGTGTCCAAACCCAAACGGACGGCTCCTCCCAGGCCTGTTCTGCCTGTCATTTTCCTCGCCTGTTCAGGCCGCCTCCCTCACACCCTCATCAGCACATCCTGGACTCTTCCTTGCAAACACCCAGAACCCGACCACATCTCCCCTGACCGCCCCTCAAAGACTCCTGCTCTCCTCCTGGCTTCCACAACTGGGCCAGGAGAGCCTCACCCCTACACAGCAGCCAGAGTCAGCCCATGGCCTTCTAGGAGCTCCCCATCGGATGGGAGGGAAACAGGACTCACATGGCCCTGGAGGCCTTGATGACCCACCCTCGACTCTCCGAGCATCCCCCTCCCCATTCACTCCAGCGGCACAGGGGTCTCCCGGCTCCTCAAACAAGCCAAGCGTAGCCCTGCTCAGAGAATTTGTATTGGCTGTTCCTGCTCCAGGAACACCCTTCCAGATGGCTTCCCCAGGCTCAGAGAAAATGGCCTGTGCTAGGGAAGCCTCGTTGGCACTCTGGGCCACCTGGCATGCAGCCCACCCCCTGTCCCTGCCACTGCCCCTCAGGTGAGCCTCCTGTCCATCTCACTCCAGGACCCCCAACCTTTCACTGGGTGCAGGCACACAGGGAGGGGGTCATGAATTTTGTGGGGCTCATCCATGAGCAAATCGTCTAATTTTTGAAGGAGGAAATGTTTAATAAGTTTCCATTTCAAATAAAAGATCAGTTTTTAAGAAAAATTGTAAGGTCCCAATCAGCTTTTACCAGCTTATATTTTCTTTATGACTCTGAGATTAAAGTTTTAAATGATCAGAAATTTAGACAGGCTTTCTCTCCAAAAGAAAGGCACATGACCTGAAGCCATAAAACTCTTTGAAGAAAACATAAGAAGTACGCTCTTTGACATCAGTCTTGGCAGTATCTTTTTGAATGCCATGTCTCACCAGGAAAAAGGGAAACCAAAGAAAAAATAAACAAATGGAACTACATCAGACTAAATAGCTTCTGCACAGCAAAGGACACCATCAACAAAAGAAAAAGACAACTTAACGACTGGGAGAAGATATTTGCAACCCATACATCTATAAGGCGTTAACATCCAAAAAATATAACGAACTCATACATCTCAACAACAACAAAACAACCCAATTTAAAAATGGACAGAGGATCTAAACAGACATTTCCCTAAGGAAGATACACCAATGGCCACAGGCACATGACAAGATGTTCAACATCACTAATTACTAGGGAAATGCAAATCAAAACTAATTAAGATATCACCTCACACCCATCAGAATGGCTGTAATTAACAAGACAAGAGATAACAAGTATTGGAGACGATGTGGAGAAAAGGGAATCCTCATACACAGCTGGTGCAAACTGGTGCAGCCACTCTGGAAAACAGTATGGAGATATCTTAAAAAATTAAAAATAGAAATACCATATGATCCACCTATTCCACCACTGGGTATTCATCCAAAGAACATGAAATCAACAATTCAAAGAGACTCATGCATCACTATGTTCATCGCAGCATTATTCACAGTAGCCAAGACTTGGAAGAAACCTAAATGCCCATCAGTGGATGAACGGACAAAGAAGATGTAGTATACATACACAATGGAGTACTACTCAGCCATAAAGGAAGATGAAATGTGGCCATTTGTGACAACATGGATGGACCCTGAGGGTACTATGCTAAGTGAAATAAGTCAGAGGGAGAAAGTCAAATACCGTATGATCTCACTCACAAGTGGAAGATAAAAACGACAACCACCACCAAACACACAGATACAGAGATTAGACTGGTGGCCATATTAGACCACAGAGGGAGGGAGCGGGAGGCGAAAGGGGTGACCGGGCACATGTGTATGGTGATGGATGGTGATTAGTCTTTAGGAGATGAACATGATGTATTTTACACAGAAATCGAAATATAATGAGGTGCACCTGAAATTTATGTAATGTTATAAACCAATATCACTTCAATAAAAAAAGAAAAAGAAAGCCACACAAAGGGGTATTTCAACACATATTCAACAAGTCACCTCAACAGACACCCCCTGAGCAGATGCTCTGCACTGGGTCCCGTGGATTCAGAGATGAGTGTGTGACCTCTGCCCCCCAGGACCAGTTCAACTGACCACATCTTATCAACAGAGTAATTCAGAGTGGGTTTTTCAGGAACTGAGACCCCCTCGTCCAGTTCAGGCCAGTTGAGACCACCAACCCATCAACTGGGCCTGTGCGAATGCTCAGTAAGTGAACTTTTTGATGTCAAGAAGCTAAAAACTCCACCCTCAGATCACGGCAATGCCGCCATTTTGTGAACGTGGGTCCCATGGAGAGAATGAAGCTCGACTCCGCTCCTGCAGATCATGTGTTACCTCACTTCTCCTCACCTCCAGTCATCTGTCCCCACACCTCCGACCACCCTGCCCGCTGCCCAGTAAATATCCCTGAGTCCCCATTTTCAGGGAGGCGGACCTGAGATCGATCCTCCCACCTCCCCGCCCGGCTGCCTTGTGATTAAATCCTGTCTCTCTGCAGACTCGTCGTCACAGTGATTGGCATAATCGGGCAGCGGGCAAAAATGAACCCGGTTCAGTAACAAGTGAGCCCCAGTGCTGCCCTCCTGAGCTCAGGGTGGCAGGACGTCAGGAGGGCTCCTCCGTGCCAGCACACAAACACGGGGTGGGCGACCCTGCAGCAGGGAGCTGCCACTGTGGGGCCTCCCAGGAAGGGCAGCTGACCAGAGAGAAGAGGCCGAGAAGGCAGCCAGGCCCTGCCCAGTCACAGTCTCCGCCGCTCTGGAGAAGCCCCAGGGACAGGAGGACCCAAGCCCTGAGCACCAAGCGTGCTGGGTTCTCACCTCTGAGGTGGGGGCCCTACCCCCATCTTGCAGGGGTGGGAACTGAGGTCTGTCTGCCCAAGGCCACCCAGGCAGCAGCACCAATCCAGGACTGGGACCTGGCATGGCTGAGCCCAGGGTGGACACCCCACGGGAGGCTGCGGGCCCTGTGCCGGGCGGTGGGCTCTCCCCTGTGGGGGCCTTACTTAGTGGGCAGGGCGGGGCTGGAGGCCCTTCTGCTCACGGGCACTCCTGGCAGTGAAGAACAGCCATGGACTTCCAAGGTCTCTGGCTTCCTCACAGGGAGGAGCCACCTGTTATCTTGATACCAGCCCTGAAATCAGTTTCCCTACATTAAACCCAGCATATTTGGGGTTAAAACCAAAACACTCCTTCTCTGCTTACTCCTTGGCTTCCTGGCTCCAGAATCCACTATCCGCCATGGAGACAAATGGCCAAGGACACCCACCTGGATTCATCATCTCCTCCTCCCCGCCAAGGAGCTACAGCCTGGTGGGGAAGCTGCTGACCAGCAAGGTCACGGCTCCCTCCTCTCTGCAGGTAGTCTCAAGGCCCAACACAGGCTGGTGGGAAAGCCCCGACCAGCAAGGCCCTATGCTCCCCCTCCCCTACCTAAAACCCCAAATAAAAACCCTTCCTTTTAGCTTTTCAGGGAGTTTGGGATTTCAGCGTTAGCTGCCCTCTCTCCTTGCTCAGTGCTGTGCAATAATAAAATTCCTCCTTTCTTCCACTACACCTGGTGTCAGAGACTGGCTTGCTGTGCAGCGGGTGAGCGAACTCAGCTCAGGTCAATCTGGTCCCACACCCAATTCCACTTGCCCCAGACTCTGCACCGTGTCCCATGGTGGTATCTCCAGGCTGCGCTCTGGTCTGGAAGCTCCCTCAGGGTTTTCCTGCAACAGCACAGCCCTCGCAGTGTCCGAGTCCCACCACAGCGCACCCCTCCCCTGCTCTCCCTCCGTCCCACGTGCGCTGGGCCCAGGCCCAGCCTGAGGCCCGGCTGCCCAGTGTGTCCCGGCATTACAGGTTCAAATACGTCATTCTGCTGTAAACTGCTTGTCTTCTAGCTCTCCTGAAGATTATGGCAAGAACATCGGCTGGCTTTCCTAACTGTCTGAGTGGGTAGGCTGTATTACCTCTGAAACCCTTTCAGGAGAGCACACAGGGCGTTACCAAATCTTTGTTCTCAAAAGGGCGTGCTGGCTTGAGGAGACTGAGACTCCCTCAGCTGGCGCAGGGACGCATGCTGGTGGGGCCGGGTGTGGTGGGAGGAGAGGGAGGTAGGGGGCGGCCAGACCAGCAGCCCTAGGGCGCTGCAGTGGGAAGAATGGGCCCCCCAAAAAGATACGCCCACATCCTCCCCCTCAGAACCTACGAATGTAGGGTCTTTACAGACGTGATTACTTTAAGGATCTTGAGATGAGATCGTCCTGGACTAGGGTGGGCCCGACATCCAACGCCAGGCATCCTTATAAAAGGAGCGGGAGATCTGAGAGAGAGACGCACAAGGGGAGGCGGTCACGTGACGAGGGCGGCTGGAGAGATGCTGTCACAGCCAGGGGATGCCTGGAGCCCCCAGGCACTGGCAGAGGCGGGAAGGCCCCTCCCCTGGAGCCCCCAGAGCCCGGCTCCCACCTCGATCCCTGACTTCCGGCCCTGAGCACGAGAGAGAGAGAACTTCTGTTGTTTCAAGTCCCCCAGGAACCTGATACAGGAGCTGAGAGGAAGCTGGTAGCAAGTGACACACACACCACCCGCCCAGAGCAGCCAGGGGACTGTGCCATCTTTTAATTCGCAGACCTCGCGCAGCACCAATAACTTCTACAAAGTTTGTTCTCAGAACGCTTTAAAATCATCACAACACAGTAGTCTTCCCCTCATCCATGGTTTCGCTTTCCGCGATTTCAGTTACCCATGGTCAACCAGTCCGAAAACATCAAATGGAAAATTCCAGAAATAAACTATAAGTTTTAACTTGCCCCAAGTTCTGGGTAACACAACGAAATCAACACGCTGTCCTGCTCCGTCCCACCCAGGACGTGAATCATGCCTTGTCCAGCGGATCGACGCTGTCTAACCACTTAGTAGCTGACCGGGTCATCAGATCCACCCTTGCGGTTTCGGGTTGGGTGTAAGGTTCCCCACTCTCCGCGGTTTCAGGCATCCAGTGGGGGTCCTGGAACGCACGCCTCGTGGCTAAGGTGGGACCACCGCACAGCTTTTCTTCCGCATAAGAAAGGCGGACGTGAGAGTGGCCCCGTGCTCCTCGCCCAGGTTGGCCGCGGTCCTGCCTCCGCTCCCTGCCCCTTCTCAAGCCCACCCCCTCAGTGTGAGGCGCGAACAGACCCTCGCTCACCTCGCACGGTTCTCAGCCAGTCCACGTTGGACGCCTCCAGCTCCTCCGGGTCTGTGACGACCCTGCCGGGGGTGATGCGTTCGAAGGCGGCCAGGTCTTCCTCGGACACCACGGAGAAGGGCAGCCGCTGCACGGGGTAGCGCTCCCGGGTCAGCATCACCTCGGGGGCACGGGAGGACGAGGAGGAGCCGCCTCTGCGGACCAGAGGGCTGGTGCCCACGGCCCCCCGAGGGCTGCCTGGCCCGGGGGTCCTGGACGCCCGGGCCCATGCGCTCTGCGGCACGCAGGCCCCCAGAGTACAGGCCGCCCGCCACCGGAACAGGCACACGGGCCACCTGGGGACCAGATGGGGCACCATCGCTCTTGCCCTAAAAAGCAAACGATTGGGACTGTAACTCTGGAATACTGCTGAGCGGTGAAAAGCGTCTGTCCGGACACAGAGCCGACCCGGCCCCAGTCCACATGAGGTCCAGAAGCAGACGGCGGCCTCCCCAGCAGGGAAGAGAGGAGCGGCAGGTGACACGAGGTGCCGGGAGGGTGGGTCTGCCCTGGTTCCTGACCCAGGTGTGGCCCCCCTGCAGGACTCACCCCTGGGGATCCACTGAGCTCTACACCCCTGGCTAGGGCAGTCCCTGGGCGTTAGAGTTTAACATTTGCAACAACCGTATCTCCCTTTCAGCCCCTCCTCCCTCAGAACAAAACCAGAATTTCAGGCGCTAAAAGGAAAGGGATGGTTGCCACTAAACTGAACACTTAAAAAGGGTCAACATGGTAACTTTTATGAATATGTTACAAGTTGAAGAAGTGCAGAATAAAAAAAAGAGAGGGTCAGGGCTGGCCTGGTGGTGTAGTGGTTAAGTTCGCACGTTCTGCTTTGGCAGCCCTGGGTTCACAGGTTCGGATCCCAGGTGCAGACCTAGCACCGCTCATCAAGCCATGCTGTGGCAGCATCCCACATAAAATAGAGGAAGACAGGCACGGATGTTAGCTCAGTGACAATCTTCTTCGGCAAAAAGAGGAGGATTGGCAACAGATGTTAGCTCAGGGCCAATCTTCCTTACCAAAAAAAAAAAAAGAGGGGAAGGGGTTCAGAATTGGGTGAAAGGGGTAAAGGGGCACATGTATATGGTGACTGCCCATGCCCAGCGCCCTATTGGGAACCCCCGTGTCAGTCCCTTTCCAGACTTCAGTCACGCGGCCCGCGAATTTGCAGCTGGACGCCCCTCTGAGACTCTGACGAGTGCGTATCGGGGGGTGCTGATGTCTGTTCTTCATTCTAAAAAAGTACGAGAACGCGCTGAACACCCCGCTTCTCTGGATGCTCCCTTCCTGCGTGGAACCTGCCTTCCCAGGTACCATCCTCACCCTGGCTCAGGTGGACCTCACCTGTCTCTCAGATCTACAGTGACAAGAGATTTTCCCATATTGAGGTATATGGGGTAACTATTCGAGTTCAAAGCCGATTCGGCTTGAGCTGGGAAACCTGACTTACGGCCCACCAGACACACATTGGACATCTGCTCATCCAGTAAAGGCAGGACTCCCCCTCGAGATAAAGAATGCGTAGGCCCCTCCTACGCCCTATGGGTGACAACGCCCTGTTGCTAAGGCACTATTGGCACCCAGATTAGTCCCCTTCCTGGCACCCTGGCCAGTTGACCTGCTAATTTGCAACTGAACGCCTCTTTGAAAATGCATCCTGGGCGTGTTTAATCCATCCTCTTTGTTCTAAAAAGATATAAGACTACCGAAACTCACGCTTCTCTGGAATGCCTTCTAAGGCCTTCCCGGGTTATAATCCTCACTCTGGCTCAGCATAAACTCACCCCAATTTTGATTTATAGGTTGGTTATAGATCATTTGCGTCGACGATAGAATGGTCAGGGGTCATTGTGCCTCAGCACCTGGCGCTCAGACAACCTGAGTCAGCCCCTGGGGCGGTGGTGTTGGCATGGGTTCACACCCGACCTGGGACCTCAGGCAAATGGACAGCCTCTCTGTGCCCGGACACGGCCCCTGCCTCACAGTCGGGTGAGAACTAAAGGCACCAGGAACGGCGGCCCTCACGGTTAGGGGGAACGCGGGGCAGGTGAGCGAGCTCAGGCCAGGACCCGGGCCCAGGACCCCCGACAGGGACCAGGAATTCTGGTTATGGATGTCAGGCCAGCCCACGAGGGACAAGGGTCAGCCGGGCGGGGACTACCAGGCCAGGAAGCACCCCCCAGGGAAGAAAAGGCTCTTCCGGGTCGACCTGAGGCTCCTCCAGGACCCGGAGGCACACCCCCAGCCTCCTCCCCCTGAGGATCCCCCCCAGGCTCAGACCCCTGAGGATCCCCCCCCAGGCTCAGACCCCTGAGGAGCTCCCCCAGGCTCCACCCCTGAGGATCCCCCCCATCTCAAACCCCTGAGGTGTCCCGAGGCTCAGACCCCTGAGGAACGCCCCCCATCTCAAACCCCTGAGGAAGCCCCCCAGGCTCAGACCCCTGAGGAACCCATCTCAAACCCCTGAGGAACCCCCCATCTCAAACCCCTGAGGAACCCTCCATCTCAAACCCCTGAGGAACCCCCCATCTCAAACCCCTGAGGCGTCCTGAGGCTCAGACCCCTGAGGAAGGCCCCCCATCTCAAACCCCTGAGGAAGCCCCCCAGGCTCAGACCCCTGAGGAACCCATCTCAAACCTCTGAGGAACCCCCCATCTCAAACCCCTGAGGAACCCTCCATCTCAAACCCCTGAGGAACCCCCCATCTCAAACCCCTGAGGCGTCCTGAGGCTCAGACCCCTGAGGAAGGCCCCCCATCTCAAACCCCTGAGGAATGCCCCCAGGCTCAGACCCCTCAGGAACGCCCCCCATCTCAAACCCCTGAGGAATGCCCCCGGGCTCAGACCCCTCAGGAACGCCCCCCATCTCAAACCCCTGAGGAATGCCCCCGGGCTCAGACCCCTCAGGAACGCCCCCCATCTCAAACCCCTGAGGAACCCCCCCAGGCTCAGACCCCTGAGGAACCCCCCCAGGCTCAGACCCCTAAGGAACCCCCCATCTCAAACCCCTGAGGATCCCCCCCATCTCAAACCCCTGAGGCGCCCCCAGGCTCAGACCCCTGAGGAACCCCCCATCTCAAACCCCTGAGGTGCCCCCAGGCTCAGACCCCTGAGGAACCCTCCATCTCAAACCCCTGAGGAACCCCCCCAGGCTCAGACCCCTGAGGAACCCCCTATCTCAGACCCCTGAGGAACCCCCCCAGGCTCAGACCCCTGAGGCGCCCCGAGGCTCAGACCCCTGAGGAACGCCCCCCAGGCTCAGACCCCTGAGGAACCCCCTATCTCAGACCTCTGAGGAACCCCCCATCTCAAACCCCTGAGGAACGGTCCCCAGGCTCAGACCCCTGAGGCGCCCCGAGGCTCAGACCCCTGAGGAACGCCCCCCAGGCTCGAACCGCCGAGGGGCCCCCAGGCTGGACCCTTTAGGAACCTCTCTGCCAGGCTCCACCCCTAATGAACGCCCCAAGGCTCACTCTCCAGAGAACCCCCCAGGCTCGACCCCGGGACGCTCGTCTCCGAGGACGCCGGGCGCGCGCACGGCTTCCACGATCACGTGACGCCGCGCAGGGTCCGATCGAGGACTGCGCCTGCGCTCGCTGCCCCCCAACCCGCTCGCGCCCGCCCGCCGCTCGGGACCCGCCACACCCGGCCCCTCAGCCTAGACCCCGGGGGGTTGCGCGCGCGCACTCACGTCCGCGTCCCCGTCTCAGCGGCCGCCGGGCCTAGCGCCGCCAGAGCCAGAGTGGGCGGGGAGGCGGGACTGAGCCTGCGCACCGGCGCCCCTCAGGCCCCGCCCCTGTGCCCTCCCGGCTCCGCCCCACGTCCTTCAGGCACCGCCCCCATGTCGCCTAGGCCACGCCCCTGCCACGCCCCCTGTGTCCTCCAGCGTCCTGGTGCAGGGTCCATCTTCCACTGGGCGAGGACAGCGGCCTTGACCCGTGTCCGGCACCGCCCAGCAAGGGTCCCAGCTCCCACCCCTTCCCCAAGGGCCAGCCCCGGCGTGGTCTGCCCCGAGTGGCCTCAGAGGGTAACTCCCCACTCCCTTGTCCTGGGGTGTGGGCAAGGGTTCTCCGCCCCCCGCCCAGGGGTCTCTGGCTCCTCGGAGGGCTCTCTGACTGCCCCTAGGGACTCAGGCTCCTCCAGGGGCGTCTGGTTCCCCCAGGGACTCTGGCTGCCCCTCCGGTCAAAGATCAGGCATCCCTGCAGGTTGGGTACCCACTGCAGGCAGAACCCGGGGAGGCTCCGAAAGCCGCCTATCCCAGCAGCGGGAACGTTTTCCTGAACAAAACCCCGGCCTGGGACTCAAGTGCGGGGCCCTCACAGGGGCTGGGCCGGGGCCGGGTGACCCGGGCTGCAGGAAGGGAAGAGCCAGCCTCTCAGGACTGCTGCAGGTTCCGCCTGCAGCCCCGCAGCTCTAACGTGCCCTTTGGATTCTGCTCCGTGGGGCCCGTTAGGCTTTGCCCCCGGAGGCACCGAAGGAGACAGGCAGGGAGGAGGGAACCTGCTGGCCTGAGGACATCCCTGTGGCCACACCCCAGCAGCACTGGAGTGCCCAGCCTCATCACTTTCCTCGGGGGTACCAGCAGCAGCGAGGAGCACCCTCCCCTCAGACATCTGAGTCCCAGCTCCATGGCACACCCCCTTTCCTGAGCTCCTGAGGCCCCCGGAACCAGCCAAATAACACCTGTTCCTGGGGTGGCTGAGTCCCAGCCCTGGAGGGGCGCTTGGCCTTCCTCAGAGCCCCTCCTCCAAACTGCCAAATCCAGAAACTCGCACTTCCTCACTGTGCCACCCCCAGACTTAGGGTGGTAGGTGCTTCCTGCAATTATTCTGTTACCCCAGTGCTCCCTTTTTGCTTTTTCAGCTCTCCAATCTCCTAAACTGTTAAAATAACTAATGTGGTTTCTGTCTTCCTGATACAGTGCCTGGTACCCAGAGTAGGTTCACCTCCCACCCTCCGGCTCCTGCTGGTCTTCCTGAGGCCTCGCCAGTACTTGCCTGGCTCACCCAATTCCGTATGTCATCAGCGGAGCAGACAGGAGGGACACTGTGTGGGATGCTGAGATAACGATTTGCTGTCTGGCCAGCAGAGAGCAGGAGAGTTCCCATGACCCTGAGGCAGCACTGAAGGTGTACCGGGCTGAACAGATGCATGGCGGCGATCCTGGCCAACTGGCATGGAGGACAAGCCCGTGCCAGATCAGTACCTGCAGGTCACGTGCCAAGAGGGTGCTGACTGGTAACAGTGGTAACAATGCCATGTCTGGAACAGCAGCTGCAGCTGGGGTCATCCCCTACGTCTTCAATAAACTACATTGCCTAAGATCTGCCCAGGTTCTTCACAGGTAAATTAATGGGATGTGCTAAGTACACCACCACTACATCTTCCCAAGGATGTGTTTCACCTTTGGATTACTATCCTGGCAGGGAGAGGACGTTCCAGACACTTCTACCTGACGCTGCCTACCACAATGGCCCTTGCTCACAGGTCAATGTGGGCATTCTGCCAGTGGTCAAGTGTGTCTATGTCAGTGTCACACTCAGGCACAGGGAAGATAACCACAGAGGGGTCTGTGTACCCACTCAGACAAAAGTTACTGATCACCTGATCGCCATAGGCCCTCACTCTGACTAGTACCAGGGGCCTCTTGGATCCGGGGGAATCAGTATCCACGCCTCTTCCCAGGCAATCACCAGAACAAACGGCTGCAGCTTCCCTGGGAGCGCTGGGGAACAGTGCGTGCGGGGGCAGCATCACAGGCCCTTCGTCCAGAACCTCGGCCTCCCCTTCCAGCGAGGACCCACGTCTGTGAGTCGGTTTTCATCTGGAAAATGGGTGAGAGGCTGTGCCTCTCCATGATAGTGACCAAGTTGGGCTTCTGGACCCTGACCATTAACGCTCCTCAAGGAAATGTCCTAAGAACTATTTAGTTGCCAAAGGGGTCTTGACACCTCTGCATATCTTGGAGGGCAAACCTTCTGTTTCAGAGAAAGCACTTCATGCCTCTGTTAAGGGACCCGTAGCATTCTCATCTACACACACACCTTTCTTGTGAGCTTGGGGACCAACTTCTGATGCTACCACACAGCTGAGGCCTAGAGATGGCCACTGACTAAGGTGAGGCCCAGGATCCCACCCAGGCACATGGCCAGCAAAACAACTCTCTCCAGTTCACAGCGTGTCCCTCCAAAATTCAACGTAGGAGAGCCTTACCCTCTGCAGAGAGAGCACTGAAGTTTTATCATTTCCTGAAATGATGCATTCTCAAATGTTTATTCCAAAAAATACTTTATTTATTAAACAATATATCCATAATCTATAACATGATCCAAAAATACAGATATACATCTTTACATTATTTAATAAAAAGATTTACAATATTATCTTTCCTTTACAAAGGGAACATAGATAATAATTCCTTGAAAATAAAATGTAACATTCATGTTAAAGCTGCATCATCTTTTTGGATGAAATGTGGTAAAGGTGAACACCACAGGATACCTCCGTAGGGAGAAAGAAACCTCATGGAGTGCTCTCCTGAAGGAGAATGTTTTTCTTAGACTTCTTTTTAAAATTCCTCTCAGCACAAGTATGAAGACCAATCACTGTTCACTAAAAGCTGAGGAAAACTTTCAATCTTCAATGCCCTAAGTGTCCGAATCCTGGATGGGGCAGACCCTGGCTGTGGCCAGATGGGGAAGCTGCTCTCTGGACAGCGTTATTGCTCGAGGCAGTCCCTGCCAAGGGCTGCGGGACGGTCAGGAGGCAGAGCGCAGCGTGGCGTGGGGACAGGGCTGACACAGAGCTGGCCGTCGTCCCCATGCATCCCAGCAAAACCCTGCCTGGGCAGGCTGGAAGCCACCTGGCTCCTATGGCGCTGGCCAGTATAAGCTTCAAGTCCAACTGCCTGGGGGCCCCAGCCTGCTCAGTGGGGACAGTCACAGGGGCCTCGGCTCAGGGGTTGTATCCCAGCCAACACCTCTACCAGGGCAGCCCCAGATGTAGGGGGCTCCGCTTAACAAATGGTTTCTATTAGCACAGCACATGCTCCCCCACAGGGAGACGAGAGGTTTCTCAAATTGCTGACCGCGAACAAGGAAAGTGATTCTGCTCTCAACAAGGTACTTCTTCCCTTACAAGCGGACCCCACAGCCATGGGGGGCCCTCTCTTTCGGCTCAGATAAGCTGCAAGAGTGACCCACTGGGCCCAGCCCAGAATGCCTCAACCCCAGGGATGGGGTTGGCTCCACAGCCGCCTCCAGGATCACATCTGGCACCTGGCAGGCAGGGACAGGGGATCTGGCCTGAATCACCCCCAGGACAAAGGCGGCCAGGCCCCGTGGAGCAATCCCCGGATGGTGCAAGCAGCATGGGCTCCTGCCACCCCCACTGGGCTGGAGCCAGGCCAGGTGGCATGACATTCTTTCCCAACCAGCCACTGAGTCTCTCCCCAGTGTGCAGATGGTACTAGCGGTCAGGAAAGGCATTCGGTCACACTCCAAACAACGATCCAGGGAGCCTTCCTGTTCTGCCCATGTTTTCTGCTTTCTCCAAAGCTATAAGCATATTACTTAGGGGACATTATTGTAACTGCAAAAGTAAACACTAGGAATAGATCACAGAAATGTAAACAACGGTCAACACATGGGGTGTGACAGTGACACGCAGGGCAACATCATTGAACTTAAAAGCTTAAGACGGAGAAGTTGGTCATCTTTCCTGGGAAACGACCAAGGCCTCGGGAAACCAGAGACGACTGAAACTGAACCAGCCAGCAACCTCCATCCACAAACAACGGTGTCTTCCCGGGATGATGGCGGTGTGACGCGTTCAGAGATGAAGCACAAATATTAATTAGCTTCCACAGAATCCTCGCTAACCTACTATACTTACCTAGCCTCTCCACAAAAACTGGTGAAAGAGCGTAGAAAAAAATATCTCCACAAGTTATTCCCCACAATCTTTACACACCTGTGTTAACAAAAATCTAAGTTACTAAACACAGACGTGCTTCACGTTCCAGCTGTGGCTGAGACCGAAGGACGTGTGCTGGCCAGCACTCACGTGGATGCCTCCCCAGGCCCTTCTTTCTGAGCAGCAGGAAGGATTGGTTCTGAGAAGGCTCATCAGGCCTGGGGACCCACAGGGATGGCAGTGGCAGCTGCTGACCCTTCCCCTAACCACCCAGCTCAAGACTGAAAGGGTTGAGCCCGCAATCATTTGGGAGCAAGTCCTGTCCCTCAGCTCACTCTAGAAAGGACAGCAGTTCCAATCCAGCCGGTGCAGCCTGAGACCCGCCGAGACCCGCCAAGACCCGCTGGCGCAGATTCCAGCCGGACCCCGACTGCCCTGACATTCTGCCTTCATTCGCCAAATATTAACTTACATTGTGGGGAGCAGCCCGTCTAGAACACAGCTTACAAGGTCCTTTCTGCTTCATTTCCTCTCCTTGGTGAAATATTAGAGGACAGGAGGACTATTAACACTCAGTACTAAGGCCATCAGGAGGAGGCAGGCGTATCCCTCCAGATGACCCTCCTCAGAAAGGGAACAGGGTTCCTCCTAAACTGGGAATCTCACATCTCGACTCTATCTCATGGATTTCTTTTTCTGGCACGAGGACAGAAACAGGTCTCCATTCTTCAGGAATCTTCTGACTTCTCTAGACGCATGCTGGAGGGTTTCAGAGCGTGCAAGGACACTCTCCGAAGTCACATTTTAGGTACCATCACAAATGGATCTCAACACACCAAATGTACGCTGTTTCCCCCAACCATGACCAAAAAGTCGGTTCAAAATCGGTTTGCTAGAGGCTGACTAAACAGAAAGTACACTCTAGTTTCCTAGTTTCATTCCAGAACTGCTATTGTGGACAAGAAACTCACAAATCATATCACATAATTGTAGTCCCTCAGACAGGAGCTGCTGATCTGTGTGTAACATGGACAGGTTCAACCTCAGCTCTTGGCAGACTGGACTCACTTCATATACACAAACACCCACAATCTTCATGCTATTATGATAATTTCATCTTCACAGTAAAAACGTCAGGAATTCCCAGAGAAATGGAACATCAGCCCATCTGCCACGCTGTCTCTCATCGGTGCTGCTGCTGCTGGTAACCGACAGCCCGTTCGCTAATGAAGAGCCGTTTCCTCCAGGTGAAACCCTCCCGGAGGGAACTGGGAGTCCAGACGGAAAGGCAGTGTGCAGCGAGGCAGAGACCTCCTCCTGCAGAGGACCCAGCCCTTCCCGGGCGAGTCACCGGCTAGGGGCAGTGCCAGGCAGGGAGGCTGCCGCGTCAGCCCCACACCCGCACGCCACACCGCGCGAGACAGACGTGCTCACAGTGGTGCTGCAGCCCTGGGGCAGACCCAGGAGACTGCGGGCGGCCACTCAAGGCTCACACCTCTAGCTGCAAAGGGATGGCAGTGTACCAGGCGGGAAGGTTCCCAGTGCCCCCGCACTCCGCACGCACGCGCCCATGGAAGTCCCTTGGGCTACTGGGTGTGACGGCCGTGCTCGGTGCCGGGGGGCTGTACAAACAGTCATGAGACAAAAGTCACCAGGGCGGGTCCCCGTAAGATCGCTTCTCTGTGCAAACAGGGCTCAGGTGGACTCTTGTTTGTCTTAGGAAATATCCAGAATTACAACTGGCCATTGAGTTATTAAATATCATTCAAAACAAGGTAGTTTTAAAATGAAGATAAAATATTGCAACATGAATGGAGGAGCATATTGACTCGCTCTTCTGGGCCGGCATCGGCCGCCTCCTCACTTCTTCTTCCTCCTTTCCTGGACGCACCGGGGACAGAACCTGGGACAAGAAAGGCACACCGATGAGCCGTTTGTGTGCAGAAGGCCCAGACCCCGCCTCCCCCAGTCTCCCAGGAGGGCTGGACACCGGTGGAGCAGTGCCAGACGAGAGACTCATAAGGAGAGAGCGCACAGCTCCGTGGGGAAGGGTCTCCCACGCGAGCCGCTCTAACACGTCTGTTCTGAAGTTGACAGATGCCAGTCAATGAGCAAAATCGTTGACACACGAGCATCCTCTTGACCAGGTTAATCACTGTTCCTTGAGCGACACCAGGGTCACCAGTGATCAAAATGGAGATGACACTCACACTCAAGCGGGTGGACTGCAGGTGCTGACGGCCAGGTGTGAGTAGAGGATGGCCTGGCACGCTTAAGCAGGTGAGCAAAGGGTCCCAGCCTCCGTCCTGCACAGTCGAGTGGGCACTGGAATCTGCAGGATTGACAAGTGCTCCCTGGTGACCCTGGGCAAGCAAGTCCAACACAGGGAGCTGCTCTTGGGGACTCCTGGACCCTGGCAGCCACTAATGACACAAGGGGACATTTCCACACTGGTTTCCGCCTGAGCCGTCCTGAGCTCCCCAGGCAGGAGGCAGCTGATTTGCATATGAGTGAGCTCCCCAGGCCCAAAACCACCACTCATAGCATCCTGTCTGTGCCAGTGAGCGAGTGCTGAGCACGTCCCTGCCCTGGCCCAGCCCCAGAGAAGGCAACGCTCCCCAGGCGAACGTGCTCACAGCAGGCTCACGGTGCACGAACATGTCAGTCAAAGAGCTTAAATCTTCCTGAACAGGGGAAGCCTGTGAACTTCCTGGGTCTCTAAAAGGACCACAGAGAAGCCAGGAGTCAGATGGCAGGGGTGGAGCCCGACCAGGCCTCCCAGGCTCCGTATGTCCTGCTACTAGACTCTTCCACCTGAAGTCCTGCAAACAACTCAAACCCACCACGTCCAAAACCAAACTCAAATCAAACCTCCCTGCCTCGTGCCGTGGCGCCAGCCAGCAGCACGTCCCCTCTGTCAGCGCAGGGACCCCGTCCATCACAAGCCGAGCCTGCCCCAGCCACTGGCCTCCTCAGCCCAGCACGTCCCCTCTGTCAGCGCAGGGGCCCCGTCCATCACAAGCCGAGCCTGCCCCAGCCACTGGCCTCCTCAGCCCAGCACGTCCCCTCTGTCAGCGCAGCGGCCCCGTCCATCACAAGCCGAGCCTGCCCCAGCCACTGGCCTCCTCAGCCCAGCACGTCCCCTCTGTCAGCGCAGGGACCCCGTCCATCACAAGCCGAGCCTGCCCCAGCCACTGGCCTCCTCAGCCCAGCACGTCCCCTCTGTCAGCGCAGCGGCCCCGTCCATCACAAGCCGAGCCTGCCCCAGCCACTGGCCTCCTCAGCCCAGCGAGCCACCCAGTTCTGCCAGCTCCGCCCAAGGCACCTCCTGCAGACCCCTCCTCAAGTCCTCGTCACCCACGCCACGGGGCGCTGTCAGGGCCTGCTGTGTGACTTCTCAGCCTCCCCCATGTGTCCCAGTGCCAAGGGGGCTGCCCACCAGGACCACACGTGGCTCCGAGACATGCGAGCACCGCCACGTCCACTGTCACTCACTGAAGACCCAGGATGACACAGTCCGTCCAGGGTTTCTATTGTCCCTCTGTCCACACATCAGCAAATCCATCCCTACAGGAAACCGGCCGCTACACACACGAACAAGGAGGGTAGTATTTCCAGGATCTCGCTTGAGAACATACGTCTGCTTTTACCACATTGAACAAAACCAGGTTTTCATTTCAATGAAATCTCAGGAACAATACAAAAGCTGCCGCTGCTGGCTGAACGCAAGGACCAAGCACGCAGCGGAAGTCTTGCTGCACGTCATCTCAAGCAGACAAGCCCTTTGCAGACAGCAAGCTCCAGCCTGCACCCAGGTCACAATTTCCTTAATGCTCTTCACGTTTGCTCAAAACGTGCCCAGGGGAAAGAACCCCTTGTTTCTCACTTTCATGTACCATCATCTTTACCTCACTCAAAATAATCAGAATGGCCATTCTTCAGGAGAATGGTAGAAATGTACGTATTATGCAAACGTAATGGGAGACTCGACCCTGGGTCAGAGGGCATAGGTGTCCCTCTGCCAGCTCAGCCCCAGGACCAAGACCGGTGCCATGACAGGGGACCAAGTTCCCAAGGCCACGCTCAGAGTGCCCCAGGCCACGGTGAGGAAAGTCCCACCAGGCCAGCCACATGGCCCAGTTCTGGAGGGAAGCAGCGCACTCAATACCCACGGGCCAGGGACACATACTGACCATTTTCCTTTGGGTTTCGTGGTCAGGTCCACACAGGCGAAGTGAAACCACTCGATGGGACACTGCAAGGCGAAGGGAAGAGGCACAGTCAGCACTCTGCGTGCTGGGTGTGCCAGACACACAGAAAGACAGGAGCCGCCCCACCCCAACGAGAGAGCGGGCATCCCACAGGCGGATGCCGCAGCTTCTGGGTTTCCCACCACGCGTCCTGCAGCCATACCGCCTTGGCACGCCCTGACACTCACATCTGGATTGTCACAGCCTATCATCTCCCCGTAGGACACCTGGTGGCACAGGCAGTAGGTGGGCTCGTTTGGGTCCACAGGCATGTCCAGCACGTCAGAGGGATGCACGGATAGGATGGTGTCTGTGAACTCAGACCTGCGGGGAAACAACAGCAGTGAGCAACAGATGGTGGGGACGTATTGCCCCCCGCAAGGTGCCAGACAAGGACATGGGGGTGTGGAGGCGGTGAAATGGCATGAAGTTGGAAGAGTGCTCACCACATAGCATAGGGGTCCAGTCTAGGTCCCTCCATCTGGACAGGACCTGCTGCCTGGGCTCCCCGCCCACGGCCCCAGACAGACCCTCCTGGGGGCCCTCTCCCGCCCAGAGCAGCACACATCACCACCCACCCACAGACAGGTGGCAACATGTGAGAACCCTGGCTGGGTCCCAGTCCAGACGGGTCTAGGCGTCTGATCGGCCCTGCCTTCACCAGCTCTCCCAGTATCTGCACCTCCTCCCACGAGAAGGGCCAGCATGTCCCCATCACATGTTCACACGGCAGCTTCGCCCCATGGCACCCACCCGCTCCCCTCACCCTCCCTCAAGCTCTAAAGCTCAGGAGCCCACCACACCTACTCAGCTGCCCACCCACCAGCGGGCCCACCTCTGACCGCACGCCAGTGACACAGGCCTCTCGCACTCCCCCACCCCCACAGCACCCCCCGGGGCTCAAACCAGCGCTGGCCGGAATCCTGCCCTGCCCGCACCACCCTCCAAATCTGCTGCCGGCAGCCCTCTGCTGAGCGAGAGGGAGAGGGAGCACAACCTGCACCTGGGTTACAGGGAAAGGACTGGGGGGAATCCACTCTTAAGGATTTCAGCACTTTTCACATAAAGCTGCAAGCTGCAGACCACTATAGACACTATGACCCCGTCAGCACAGAAACAAAACCTGCCCTACACCCCTCTCCAAACCAAGAATACACACGCGCATCAAACACGTCTGTGACAGCGAGCAACACGAGGACGGCGGCAGCGCAGGCCCCCAGCGTGAGCACAACCCCCGACCCGACCTCCGCTCCCCATGTGAGCACCGCCCACGAGGCGCTGGGCCAGTGTGCCTTCCCCTTCGCAGGTAATCCACTTCTGTCTCTGCGGACAGACAGGACTTTCTCTTTGTATCTGAAGTCCGGGAGCGTCACACAGACGTGCCCTGGCCCACATGCTTTCAACACTGCTTCAAGCAAGTCACAAGCAGTCCTTGAGGCTGGGACATGGTTCCCTGGCTTTCCATGGCCACCCAGAGTCCTCGCCCCAGCCTGACACTCTGCTTCTCACCGCCCCCCGGTCTCTGTCCTGCCCTCAGCGGCCCGGGTGCTTGCCGCGCATGCTCCTTGCAGAGCCTCCTGGGAGCCACCCACGGACACACTAGGGACACTCTCTTTGTGCTGCTCTCGCTTCTCTGCACTGACGTCACAGCTGTTCTGCGGTTCTGCCTGCAAAACTCAACCAAACTTTCGCACCTGGAGCTGCCACTTGACCTGCACCCGTCACCCCCAGTACAGTGGCACTGGCCAGACCCAAGCGGCAGCAGGAGAGGCTGGAAAAGTGGAGGGGACCACCTGGCAAGGATACCAGCCAGCCAGCAAGGAGGCTGGGGACTGCCCCTGCCTCAGCTCTCCAGTCTCACCAAGGGGCTCCGGGGTGGGAGGGCGGTGCGCGCTGCTGCTACCCCAGAAGGAAGCAGGCAGGAGGTCACGGGGAGCCCCCTCCCATGCCTGAACCCCACACTGTGCTTCGCAAGCACTTCAGGGAGCCCCCCAGCTGGAGCAGCTGCTCGGCCAAGCTTTGGGATTCCAGGGCCTGCAGGAGGAACTGCCCCTGCGTCCACACACACGTCCTGCTGTGCCACAGCAGCCCTGGCCGGGCAGGTCCCTGGGACGGTGACAGTGCAGTCAGGCAGCCTCGGCCAGCAGGACTCCACAGATGGGCCAGGGTGACGTCTGTGAGGTCTGCGAACATGCCACCCTAGGAAGGCCCTCCCTGCCTGTCTCAGGGGCGCCCTTCAGAGTCCCCCAGTGGGGAAGACAGAACCTGCAGCAGGCAAGGTGCTCTGAAAACCACAGCAGTACCCAAAAGTGGGCTGTGAGGCCCAGAGCAGATGGGACAAAGCAGGCGTACAAGAGCTCCCAGCCTGCATGACAGGCGCTCCCCGCCAGGCCTCAGCGCCACATCCTCAGAGACACACCACCCTACACCCACCTGCAGGCAGGCCAGGGTTGGAGTTCATCGGCCTTTTCCCAAGATGCTCTTTCTGACCCCAGCACTGCCCTCGCATCCCCCGGAGATGGCATGCAGGGCACCCAAGCTCAGATGTCAGAGCCAGATTTCAAGGCAGGCCTTGGTGCCCCTCACTTCAGCCGGCCTCTCTGGCCAGTCCCGACAACAGAAAAACAGGACAGTGACAGCACTGCCACTCAGGGTGGCCATGGAGAGGAAATGGATTCACACAGAAGCACCAGGTCCAGCCCAACTCGCCAAGGCGCTCCCCAAACGTCACCACCTGTGACATTCCCCTTCTTGTCTGTGGCTGCAGCCAGCCCAGCAGGAAGGCCGGGGGCGGGGCCGAGCCACTGGCCTCCTCAGCACTATCAGGCAGCGGTCAGCAGCGCACACACCATCACAGCCCAGTCGGGGGAAAGGCTGCATGCCCCGGCCATCTCCAGTGCATCTGCAAAGATGGCTGCAAGACATGTGGGTCATCCCTGAGGTCTCTGAGGCAGGCCAGGTGCACAGCCCTCAGGGAGCTCCAGCCACACCAGGCAGCTGGAGTCTTGTTCCCTCCGAGAGGACCGGGGGTGAGGAAGACACAAATGAGAAGGCCTGCTCTTCCCCAGGAAAGACGAGGTGTGCCTTCAGGTCTGAGCAGGAAGGAGCAGGAAGACTCATAACTCTGCCAAACCCAACAAATTGCTAAAACCACATTTCAAAGACGCACAGCCACCGGTACTTCAAGAGGCAACACACACGGCAGCTGTGACCCCACAGTCCACTTACTGAACCTGAGGGCCATGCAGAGGCGGCAGAGCGACAGGAAGGCAGAGCGCGGATTCTGGCTGCGTCCTCGGGGAAGGGGCCTGCCTCCGACACAGCAGCCCCCCTCCAGGACTTCGCTGACTGTGGAAGCAGCACGAGCAGGAGGCGAGAGAAGAAAGCTAAACATCGCCCAAGCAGTGACCAGCCCCACAGGCAGTCTCTCAGGAAGCCAAAATGGACTCTCCCAGTTCTCAATCAAGAGCCAGAGAGGGCCTTGCCTCTCAGCCTTTGACACCAGAGGGGGACTGGGTCCGAGTGAATGGGCACCCAGCCTCCACCTGCTCACCCTGCCTGGACCAGAGAGGGGCAAACTCCTGCGGAAGAGCGGGAACTCCACTCTCCATGGTCCTCTTATTCCTAAGGTCAGACAGATGATAAAACAACTATGTGACGTGAAAGGGCAGGAAGACGTGACTGATAATCAAGAGAAGAGCTGGCTAACAGAAGCAGATGCATGGATGACCCAGATGTTAAAATCAGCAGGCTTTAAATAACTTTAAATAGTTATTATAAAGAAATTATGAAAAGATGGATGCAAATATGGAGACTTTTCAAATAGGAACTAAAATCTATTAAAAAAAAAGGAATCAAATGAGTGTTCTAGAACAGAAAGCAATTAGATATGAAATTAACATTTATGATCTCATCCATCTGTAACTGACACAGCCTAAGTGTTCACACAACAATCAGGAACCAAATATCCACCATAAGGCAGATGCTTCCAGTCACCTCTGCAGTAGTCTCATGTCCCGGCAGCTCTACAGAACTTTGGCCTAAACGAGCACACACACAAGACGATGCGTTCCCAGTCAGAGAGGAGGCTGAAGTCCCTGGAGCAAATGAGGGGGAGCACTGTCTAAATGCTCACTGAAGATGCACCATCAAGATTTTATGTCTTAACAGCAAAATCCAGACTCTGGGAAACTTTACAAGTCAAATGGTCTGGGTGTTTCAAAAGGAAAATTGTGAGGAAAAGACAAGGATGGAGAAAAATTTATATATTAAAGAGACTTGAAGAACATACCTAAAAACTAAAAAAAGAAAAAGACTTCTACTTCTGACCATGACAGACTGACAGGTACTGAACCTGCCCTCCTACTGTGACCAACTAGAAACCTGGACAGAAGAGATAAACAACTGTCTTCACACACTGGACAGAAGGCAGCCCAGGACTACCACCCTGAGAGAAGGCACACAAAGAAGGCGAGACCATGGTCATCCGGGCTTTCTGCCTGGAGGTACTTTCCACACTCCAGTCCACGGAGAGGAAAACCGCACAGAGCACGAGTGTCTGGAGCAGAGGAGGGAAAACTCAAAGTTCAGGGAGGGCGAGGCTGCTGGAAGTCTGCCAAGTAATCTACTTGAGGTGTTTGTTTGTTTTAAAGATTTTATTTTTCCTTCTTCTCCCCAAAGCCCCCCAGTACACAGTTGTATATTTTAGTTGTGGGTCCTTCTAGTTGTGGCATGCGGGACGCCGCCTCCACATGGCCTGATGAGCAGTGCTACGTCCGCGCCCAGGATCCGAACCCTGGGCTGCTGAAGCAGAGCGCACGAACTTAACCACTCGGCCACAGGTCCAGCCCCTCTCCTTGAGTTTTTAGCTAAAAACTAAGTTGCCTGTGCACAGGGTGAAAATCCACGAGGTCAGGCAGAGAAACTGGAGCCGTGAGCTGGACAAGTCCCAGAGCTCAGTGCAGGCTGGATGATGTTGGAGTTCCAGCCGAAAGGCAGAGGCCTTGTTAAACACCAAGGCACTCAGAAGAGAACCCAGAAGGTCACACCTTAGCAATAGGGCTTAACCCAGCCGGGAGCAAAGGCGGCCCTGACCCAGGGTTGGTAAAATCTAGCCTGCAGTTGGCTGCCTGTTTCTGTAAATACGGTTTTATTGAAACACAGCCACATCACTCATCTATGTATTTTCTGTGGATGCTTTTGATATAAAACAGCAGAGATGAGTGGTCACAACAGAGACAACATGGCCTGTGAGCCTAAAATATTTTCTGTCTGGCCCTTGAAGAAAAGTTTTCTACAAAGGTTAAAAACAAACCGACAGAGGA